TTTTTTTTTTTTTTTTTTTTTTTTTTTTTTTTTTTTTTTTTTTTTGGGGGGGGGGGGGGAGGGGGTGCAGGGTGTGTGTGTGGATTTAGGGTTCCCAAGTTAAGAAATGGGGATCACCTTTTAAAGCTTTTATACTGCAGTGAACTAACCTGAGTTGAACAATGGATATGCTTTGAAATAAACAAAAATGTCAGGGTTAGGAGTAGATTCTTAACTTGGGGGGTACATGGGTAGAAGTCCGACAAATTAGTCTTCAACATAAAGAAATAGGCATCATCTTTACATAATCTGTGAGTCATTATGCTAGAAAATGGAGAGTAACTTTTCATGAAAGTGCGTCAAGGACCCTTTAAAATTTGTGTTAATGGAAACAGGAACAGTCTAGCACTGTTGAAATACTGATAGTTGTGCAAACATCATTTAAATGAGCAAACTCATGCATGTTTCTGCATTGAAATATCTTCATTCATCCTCTGTAGTACGTGAGGGAGTATTTTTGTGTTCATTTATTTATTTATTTAGAGAGAGAAAGAGAGGTTACATAACCATAAATTATAAAAAATACAAAATCTTTTTTTAAATCCTTAAACTATACAGAAAGACATACATTGGTATGCTTAATCACCTACAAACAGTCACTTACTGTAAGTACAGAACCTTTCTTGTATTTAGGGAAAGAATGGGACTGCTTATGAGCTAACATGCTCTTTAACTGCGCACCTTTAAATCACCACTTAAAAATGATTACAATATCTTCACTCAGTTTATAATGGGAGCTTTCACAATTCCTTCTAAAGTGGTATAAAACATTTAACACATACACTGTTCACACTGATTAATATTTTCAGCCTTATCTCTGTGCAGGGCCTCCTGAAAACTCTTTTTTAAGTTGTACACTTATACCTTTAAATCACCAGTTTCTGTATTGATTAAAATACCAACACCTATCTTGTAACCACGGCAATGAGACAGGTACAACGTCAACACGTTCAAGGTTCAATTCGTATCAATGCCAAATTATTGGGTTTCCATGTAAACAAAGCACCCATTGTCCCCCTGCTTATTCGAGCACTCCATTGTAAGGGGGGGCTTATTTGAACAGTTGCCGTGGCAACACAAATATGGAATAACAAGGACGGTGAATAGAATCAATGACGGGAGCTTAAAACCAATTTTCTATGCCAGCAGTTTTATTTGAAGAACAAAGCTGACTTTCCTATTCGCAGTGTTCGATATGGCTTTAAGATGAATAGAATCACATTTAATGGACCTTTCTAAAGGAAAAGACCAAAAACTTTTACTTTTATTTCTAAAAGGCTCAAAACTGTTGTTTTGACTAAGTGAGATTTGGTGGGAGCCCATATTTTAGCGGGAAATAGAGCAATGGCTTTTCATTCAACACTACCTGCCGGAGTTACATACATAACTTTAGATTACACAACACTTAACTAAGGATTTTAAAAAGTTATTTATTACTTCCCAGAATAATGGAGAGAAATCAATTTGTCAGTGATATGAGGAGGGGGCAAATTTTTGGTCATTTATAATAATGCTGCTGTGAGCCAAACCAATTTTCCAATCAAGAATGACTGACCGATACTCTTGTCTGAATGTATACATGAACCTGTGGCGAAGCAGGCTCTCAACTATTGATTACCTTAATCAATTATGATACACATGTAAATTGAATCGAGCAGTGAAGTAACCACTCAATTATATTGACATCAAAGTGTGAATATGATTAGTGCAAGTGGCATCTCTCTCTCTCTCTTTTCCTCTCTCTCAATCCTGCATAAAATGAATGTGACATGTCTGACAGTATCTATAGCCATTATATTCAAAGAAACATTGGCATCTTTCTTTTGTAAGGTTTGAAGGAACATAGTTATTTTAAGTGTCCCCCAATAATAATTTTACTCTAATTTAATATTTACCGTAATGACATTTTTCCTCTATAGGGTATGTTCTTATTTCTTAGCACTTCTGTTTTCTCATCAGACTTAAAGCTGTTCATCTATAATTTCAATATCTTAATTTATGATTATAATGATATCAAAACAAGAACCTCTTCTCTGAAGTGGAACTTCTCTACCCCCCCCCCCTTACTTCCCCTTCCTCCCTCCCTCCCGTCCTCTCTCTCTCTCTCTCTCTCTCTCTCTCTCTCTTTCATCTTTTCTGTCATTCACACTTCTGATGAAAAGACTATTTCAGCCAACATTTACCTTTAGTTGCAAAACATAACAAAATGTAATAATGTGAGAAAAATACTAGGGACAGCTTGTCTACCACAAGTATTTAGCTTTTAGTTGTGACAACATCATATCACTGCATGCTTAAAAATTATATCAGCTTATCAGGTCAAAGTCCTTCATTTTTAAATAATAATCTGAGAACAATACTGCCAGTTTTGAAAATATGGCATTATATGGCAAAGTTAAAGTTGCTTAATTTCAATTTGGTCCAAAGTTCTTACTGCTCACTAAATGCAATTATGATAATGACTAAGCCATCTAAATCAAAAACTTTAATATGGTTAAATATGAACCAAGATTAAAAACAGCATCTTTAAAAATTATAAAAATCTTTCATTGCATGTAAGATGTATTTTATTGTAGTCTACATCTTTTATGTCAGATTCTCTTTGAGATGCCTTTTTTGTCAGAAATAATAAGAATATATAACATAATCTTAAACAATATCAGTGACTCAAACACCAATTAGTTAACAAATAATTTCAGTAAATTGCAACTTAATAAATTCAGGAGTAAAACTGGCATAAAATGCTATCACTGCTTAACAGATATAACAGTACTATAGGTTCATGTAATATCTGTATAAAATCTTTTTTTCTTTTTTTTTTTTTTACAAAAGTAACTTAAAAAGATTTTTTTGAAATCTCATCTAGGCTAAAATAAACAAAACACTTGATCCCTGGTCGAACTTTATCATTTTTCTGGCCCATAATGATAAATCTGAAATTAATGTTAAAATATCCCAACACAACTGCTATTTATTGCCTTTGAACCCAAAATCTTATCACAAGATAGAAGACCTTATTGCATCTGGGCCCTTCACACTAGGACGACTGTCAAATTTGTTGGTTCAATATAAACGTTTAACCAGGACAAATTTGATAAGAAAAGTCTCAAAAGGCCCATTTTTATCTCTTCTCGTCAGCATTCCTAACTGCATTAAAAAAATCCAAACTTAAAAAAAAGAAGAAAAAAGAAAAAAAAATGATATCAACTAAAAAGCGTGCTTGTCAATGAAACCATGAATTAAAACAGCATAAAGCACCTGGGCCACTTAAAAGAGAATGTATTCTACCTACACTGTCCGTATATTTCTATTATTCAGACTACCCATCCTAATTTTGGATAAATTCATTAAAAACTAAGAAAACGTGTAAAAATATTTAATATCGATCAATGGCAAAATAACAGTTTATCCTATCGCATTAAATGGGATTGACAAGGTCAAAGTAGTACGAAACAGCGGAAAACGGCCCGTGTCGGTTACTCATAAAAATTAATCAATTTGGGTCGAAAAGTGCAAAAATCGCCCCAAAGTTTAATCGGACTTTTTCGGCTTCTGTTCTCGGTCGGTGGCAACTGTCTTGGATATTTGGGGCTCTTATTGGCACCTGTTTGCACTAATCTACTAGAGAGGTAGTCTCACTTCACACCTGATTTTAATTTTGATGATAAAAAAGTGAGTTTACTTACTAGCCCAGGTGAAACACTCGTACCCATTCTCACACAGCTTTACTTCTGCTACAGGTGAAATCTCGCAGATTCTCGTCAAACTGATCTCCAGCAATTTGGAAATTTGTCACACGGTTATTGTATAGCATACAAACGAAGAGTTTAGAACTTATTGGTAAAATGTGGTAAACAATGCTACTTTGAGGTCGATGTAATCTTTCAAGCTAATATTTATCCCAGGGCACCTTGTGGTAACTAAGGAAACAGCCGCCATATTTGATCATCAACAACTTGGGAATAAGTGCTTCTCGTCTGCTACATATCAATTATTTTCATTTACAAAATGTCGGACCAGGAGGATTTTGGAGAACAAGAGCAAGAAGAGGAACAAGAAGCGGAAGGGGAAGAAGGTGAAGAAGAACAAGTAGAGGAAGAAGAGGTGAGCTTGATAACCGAAACTGAAAGGAACGTCAGTGCAAATTGCCACACTGATCGAAAACACTCACTGCTAATGCGACTTGATGGTCAAAGTTTCAATGGAAATACTGTAATTTGAAACTATAAGATTTCGGTAGATTTGATAATTCATTCCTGTAAGAGTCCTTTTTTCAACTAATAAAAAAAAACAGTGTATGTCTGTAATTCTCACGTATTTCTGGCGTGCAGTGTTGTTATTACTACAGGTACATGTATATATTAGATTCTCATAGTATGATTTACGTTAATGCATTTTATTTCATTCATCATTATATATTTGCCATACAGAAAATTGAAGAAAACCCACTGACACAGGAGATCATCGCAGAATCACTTTCACTCCTTTGTAAAACTGGAGATGGACTTGCACATGCATATGTCAGAATAGACCTTCATGATAAGTAAGTTTTCTGGATAATTGGCTCTCTGACTTAGTTATGATGCCTTGATATCCATATCCCATGCAGAATTTTAGAATACATGACTCTGTGTGAAAAACCTTTCATACATGTAGCCTTTATAAAGTATAGAATTTGAATTGATATCTACCTAATGAAAACCATGGTGTACAAATTGTATGACAAACATGGTCTGTTTAAAGACAGAATTTCATATATTAGTATATAGTAGATAAAACTGATTTCATACAATTTGCTCCTCTGTCTTATAAATAGCCCTTTTTATGTCACATATATGTGTAATTTTCTTTTTCTACATGTATGTTCATTGATCATTTCAGGTCCCTTTCAGACATCAGCATCTTGAGTTCTTTCATTCATCTCCGATACATGGATATATCTAAAAATAATCTCAAGGACTTAACCCCTCTCAATTCCCTAACACATTTGCTGACACTGAAAGCGGATGCCAACTTGCTCCAGAGTGCTCAGATGGAGGAGTTGCCATATCTTCAAGTGGCGAGTTTCAATCAGAATAAGATAAAAACCACAGAAGGAGTGAATCACCCACTTCTGGAACAGTTGTCTTTATCATGTAAGTGAAACAAGGTCTCCATCATGGGAGCAGCTTATTTATTTATTTTTTGTTTGTTTTTATCTTAGTTTTTTCATTTTTATTATGGAGGGGTGTTCATGCATCTAATGGAAATTACCTCTGATTTTTTTTTTTTTTTTGGGGGGGGGAGGAAATTATGAACATTACTCCTTAATGAACATTACTCCTGTTTTTTTTTTTTTTTTTTTGCTGGGGGGAGGGTAGATGCACTTAATGAAAATAAGTTAATTAGAAAAGATTTTTTTTAGATAATTTGCCTTTAATTGATTCAGCTGTTAACATCAACATTATGAAAAGTATTAGCAGCCCAATGTTAACAATTAAGATCAACAAGCCATGATTTGCCAATGCACCTACATCCAAGAAGAGACAAGCTAATAAATAAAAGGGGCTGGATACAATAAGGGGAGGGGCAAAAAAAACTGCCTTTTGGTTGGAAAAGGATCGATCTGAATCAAAATCTGATCTAGGTTCTACACCATTTTTCAAGTGGGGTCAACTAATTAATTTAAGGTAGCAATAAAAGGTCCAAATTTTCAGAAAAAGACCTCCCCCTTCTGAAATTGCTAGTACCAGGTCTGGTAAAGATTTTCTTTATGTTATTCAGGGCTTTATCTGTAAATAATGTAAGGACGATTTGCCACATGACATTTTACTTGCTCTTTGGGCCAGTGACCCCAGCAATTCAATGGCCCTAGGTTGGTTTTCAGTGGCCCAGGGCCAGTGGGCCACCCTTAATGTCAAGCCCTGTTATTGACCTGACTTATGTTCTCTTACAGTCAATGAGATCACATCTATCAGTGGTTTTGACCCCAGCATCCTAACCAGGCTTCACACCTTGGAGCTCAGAGGGAACAAACTCAAATCTACAGAAGGACTGTATTTGCCAAATTTGAAAAACCTGTTCTTGGTAAGTAACTTAATTTTTGGATGGAATAGTTTGGCTGCATACTTTCCTGTTGCCCGTGCATTTCGGTTTGTGCTTTGTGTTCCAAGATCCAGAAAAACTTATGAGTAAAGCTACATTAATGTTGATTTACATAATATAATATGATATATTTAATATAAGTATGTACATAATAGTATGGTGAAAACATGAGCTATAAAAGAAAAAAAAATCAAGAAGGTAGACAAAAAAATTGATAACCAGAGTTATTTTGTTGTCTGTATTGTTACCCTGAACCTAAAGCTTTGTATTGTTACAAATTTAAATCAAAAATTGGTTGATCTTTCTTCATGAAAAGAAGCTAGAAATAATGTGGGTTGTTAAATTGTATTTGAATTTGTAAATATTTATTTCTTCAGGGTGCAAACTTGTTGACAGAATTGACAGGTTTAGAGAGGCTAGAAAACCTGCAGACTCTTCATCTGAGAGACAATCAGTTGGAGGCTCTGGATGGTTTCGCTGATACAAACAGACATTTACAGTACATAAATCTACGGTAAGAGCAGGTGTCAGACAAGGGAAATAATTTTATGAAACTCATGTAATAAGTTTGGGAAGAAAAAATGTAGAAATTGACCCCAAATTTTAAAAGTTTCTGTACTCCTTGGAGTGGGCACAATCTCACAGTTAATTGAGTGCCTGAAAACTGGAACTCTTTATGCTTGCCCACCTTATACAACAAACTTCATTATTAAACCCTAAATATTCTTGATATAAGCAGCAATCCCATTTATATCAATTAACTCAAATATATTTGTTTTAATCATAAATTCATCTGATTTTCACATTTTGTATTTCTCTCCTCTACAGAGGTAACAATATAGCAAGTGCAAAAGAAATGAAGAAACTGCAGAGTTTGCCAATGTTACGAGCCATTGTGCTGACAGGTATGCCCTTCTCCCTCCTCTTCTCTCTCTCTCTCTCTCTCTCTCTCTCTCTCTCTCTCTCTCTCTCTCTCTCTCTCTCTCTCTCTCTCTCGTTTACACATGTGTGTGCTTGCATAAACACACACACACACACGTAGCCAATAACTTGATATTAGATATCATTTCTAACTTCAACTTTAAAACTTGTCTCTATACAGAGAACCCATGTGAAGATGATGAACAGTGTAGGATAGAGGTCCTAGTTCACTTAAGACGGCTGGAGCGTCTAGATAAGGAAGAATACAATGAGGATGACAGAGAGGAGGCACAGCAATTGGCAGAACAACGGCGACAAGAGGAACTTGCAGCTGATGTAAGATTTAAAAAAAATTTAATGGCCAAATTAAAATTGCTGAGCAATTCTGACATTATTGCACTCTTAAGGATACCTTTTGAATTCTATTTTGCTACCAAAAATCTCTTTGAGACTGAGTACAGCAACTGCTGGTCTAACAAAGTGTGGTGTTATCATATTGATTGTGGTAATTGTGCCGATGCTGTCGCAGCTAACACATTCTTCACATCTACACCCAGACTATAAACACTAAATTGGAACTTACGACAAAAGTTTTCTAATATTTAATATTCTAATATTTATTATCTTTTCTTCAGTGTAACATTTATGTGTTGATATCATAATGACCAATTATCTACTTGGAAATTGCATTCTCTTTTACAACCTCTGATACAAATTTGCACTTAAGTACTAGAGTAGCTAGTTGTTTCCTTCCTTTATAATATGGATGAAATATTCCTATCCACATTTTAAAACTGAATATTTCATGCTGTTTAAATTGATTGATCTTATGTTGCTAATTTCAAATTTTTGGACATTTACAGTAGTTATGTACTATTTACTTCATTATTACAAATGCAGAGAATGCAAGTTCCAAGCTCTCTCATTGTATGTAAAATCATGTTTAACTTGATGACTACTCATGAACTTTTGCAAATACATGTGGTTGCTAAGTTACTGTATTTTTTGTATATAAAAAGAAATCCTCCACCTGGTTGCTAAGCAACCATCTGGATTACCAGGTGACTAACTCACTGTTACAGCCAAAGCACATTTATAATCTGGAGCAATTTATTCCATATAAAATATTCACTGTGTCTGAATTTTGTTTTCATAGCACAGGATGAAATTGTCTGAGAAGCCTTTAGCAGCAGTGCAGTTAAAGACTCACATAGACTTTTAAAAACTTTGTCCAGTGTTTGGAAGCAAAAATCCAGATACATGTCACGCTAATGTTGATCAAATGCTTCACATACAAAAATGTCATGCTGTAGCAATAATGTTTCAACTCTATTTTGAATTTTAAGGTTCTTTTGAATCCTTACTTAACCATATACAGTTATTTTGGAGTAGCTATTATCGTGTTTGGGATTTTTTTACGGAAATATGTCTAGGATCTGCAAAAATATTATTTTTGAAAAATCTGTATGTTGTAACATTATTGAACAACAGTATCTTGCACATATCACTGAGGCCAGGTTGATGGAGTTGTTTTGGTTTAAAAAGATGAAAGTTTCAACCAATGAGCAAAATCTGCATAATAAAATAATTNCTCTCTCTCTCTCTCTCTCTCTCTCTCTCTCTCTCTCTCTCTCTCTCTCTCTCTCTCTCTCTCTCTCTCTCTCTCTCTCTCTCTCTCATTTACACATGCTAGTGCTTGCATACACACACACACACTCACACCATACACACACACACACACACACACACACACACACGTAGCCAATAACTTATTAGATATCATTTCTAACTTCAACTTTAAAATTTGTCTCTATACAGAAAACCCATGCGAAGATGATGAACAGTGTAGGATAGAGGTCCTAGTTCACTTAAGACGACTGGAGCGTCTAGATAAGGAAGAATACAATGAGGATGACAGAGAGGAGGCACAGCAATTGGCAGAACAACGGCGACAAGAGGAACTTGCAGCTGATGTAAGAGTTAAAAAAAAAAATAATTAATGGCCAATTTAAAATTGCTGAGCAATCATGTCATTCTTAAGGATACCTTTTGAATTCTGTTTTGCTAACAAAAAGCTCTCTGAGACCGAGTACAGCAACTGCTGGTCCAACAAAGTGTGGTGTTATCATATTGATTGTGGTAATTGTGCCGATGCTGTCGCAGCTAACACATTCTTCACACCTACACCCAGGCTATAGACACTAAATTGGAACTTTCGACAAAAGTTTTCTAATATTTAATATTCTAATATTTATTATCTTTTCTTCAGTGTAACATTTATGTGTTGATATCATAATGACCAATTATCTACTTGGAAATTGCATTCTCTTTTACAACCTCTGATACAAATTTGCACTAAATTAAGTAGCTAGTTGTTTCCTTCCTTTATTATATGCATGAAATATTCCTATCCACATTTTAAAACTGAATGTTTCATGCTGTTTAAATTGATTGATCTTTTATTGCTTATCTCAAAGTTTTTGTACATTAACAGTGAAGCCATGTACTATTTACTTCACTATAACAAATGCAGAGAATGCAAGTTCCAAGCTTTCTCATTGTATGTAAAATCATGTTTTAACTTGATGACTACTCATAAACTTTGCAAATACATGTGGTTGCTAAGTTACTGTATTTTTTGTATATAAAAAGAAATCCTCCACCTGGTTGCTAAGCAACCATCTGGATTACCAGGTGACTAACTCACTGTTACAGCCAAAGCACATTTATAATCTGGAGCAATTTATTCCATATAAAATATTCACTGTGTCTGAATTTTGTTTTCATAGCACAGGATGAAATTGTCTGAGAAGCCTTTAGCAGCAGTGCAGTTAAAGACTCACATAGACTTTTAAAAACTTTGTCCAGTGTTTGGAAGCAAAAATCCAGATACATGTCACGCTAATGTTGATCAAATGCTTCACATACAAAATTGTCATGCTGTAGCAATAATGTTTCAACTCTATTTTGAATTTTAAGGTTCTTTTGAATCCTTACTTAACCATATACGGTTATTTTGGAGTAGCTATTATCGTGTTTGGGATTTTTTTACGGAAATATGTCTAGGATCTGCAAAAATATTATTTTTGAAAAATCTGTATGTTGTAACATTATTGAACAACAGTATCTTGCACATATCACTGAGGCCAGGTTGATGGAGTTGTTTTGGTTTAAAAAGATGAAAGTTTCAACCAATGAGCAAAATCTGCATAATAAAATAATTATTCATTTGGCACTCTAATCACAAACTTCCCCAGATTATATAGATAGTAAAGATTTGGGGGGAGACAACTCCCAGGCAAAAGAAACTTAAATATTTGTGAAAAAGTAGATTTGCTTAAAAAGATTAATTAATTAATTTAAAAAAATAATAAAAGAGAGAGAGAAATTGAGAATAGTGCTCTCTTTTATCACACAGGCCTCAGTATATTGTTTGCTGCACCATGTTTGTTCTACCCTGAGATTCACAGCTTTGTATTTAGACTCACTTTCAAGTATTGAAATTGATAGGGTCAAAGCATGATACAACCTGCAAGACTCGGGGCACATCCAGTGTTGGATTGCCTGGCGTAAGCAGTATAGTATCACTCAATGTATAGTCAATGATGTGTTGTCATTTTGTAAAGAAGATTGCAAAATCTTACTGACTGAAAGCTGTGAGACTCGGGGTAAAATCGATGTTGTATTGTCATGTTTATGCACTACTGTATCACTGACTGCACGCTTCCTAACTCTTCCGCACACAGGATACTAAAGCTGATGGGGAATAGATAACACTACTGTCACTGTGCAAGCACAAGCTATCAGGTTAAGTATATTCATTTTGAGGATTTAAATTGACATCCACAGGTGGTTCCAGATCGTTAATCTCTGACTCCAGGCAGACCCCTTAAAAAAATTTGTTATCACCCTCCTTTCCCCCCCCTCCCCCACCCCCCCACCCACCCCCCACCAGAAAGAAAAAAAAAAAAGAAAATGAAAATTAGTTATACAAAACCCTGAGTTCTACAGAGCAATGCAGTACAATTATCTTTATTTGGCCTCCTCCTCTCTCCTAAAAATCCTGGAACCATCTGGCTGGATATATTGTTTGTGGGCACTCATTATTTATCAAAACAAGGATATTTTATTTCTAATTGCACCATGTGTAACTTATGTAAGTTTCGATTTGCCTGAATAATGTCTGTGCAGTTGTTTCAATCTGTAGCTATATGAGAGTATTGCCTTCAATATTTTATTGGCTATTAGGTCTTAGTTCCTACAAATAAAAGGAGAGTTCTGATATCTAGCTGTTGATTGAAGAAACTGAATAGACTACACCATGCAATTGTTTTAATTCTCTGCCTGGTTTTAGCAAATTGCTCCAAGTGTTGAGTTAAATGTTTTTTTTTTAATTAAAACTGTTACTAACACCAGTATGGATTCATAATGAAAGGTTCTGATATTGGAAGCTGAAAAAGATGAAACTGTTCTATATCTCTTTTTGAAAACTTGTATTTTTGAACATAATCAACAAGTATTTAGAATTATTTACTTCACCATGTAATGTTATGTTGATGGTTCTTGAAAATTTTCATCATTACATTGTACATTTTTTAAGTGTATTTTGCAAATTTAAAAAAAGTTTTTGTATGGAGCATTGAGAGTTTACGGGGTGTGCCATATAAGTAATTATGTTAATAATTATTATTGTCACAATTATTTTACCAGGTTGGTGATGCAGAGATGATTGAGGATGAACCAGATGATGCGTGAAGACAATGACAGTGGTTTCTTTACATTGCCATTGAAGAACTGAAGACTGTTTACACACAAAGAAACTGGATTGCTTCAGCATGAGGAGTCTTAGTCATCTTTCAGTGGAAATGTGGACCTTTTCTCATTTTCCGTCTTTCTTTCATTACTCTGGGCAAAAAATATTGTTGACATAGAACAAAACTGAATTTTTTAAAATTCTTATTTTGAACTCTGGGACCAGCAGTTTATAGATGTAGATGCAAAAACATCTTTGGAATAAGAGGCCTTGGTTTTCTGATTTGCATGGCATGTGAACTTTATAAGGAGAATAACAGGAAAGAAAAGAAAACGGTCATGTTAATATTGTACAAAAATGCATAAAAAATGTATTTTGGAAACTGACCTTTTACTTTCAGAGTAAACAATTGCAATGAACTCTGGAAAAATTTACCCTCATTATTTTCAAAGAAAACGTGAAAATAATTTAGTCTTGAAAAACAAAGTTATGAACAGAAGGGTTTTTAAAATTTTTGTATAGCTGTGGTATTATGATTAGTATTTTTTGCGAGAATTACGGAAAAAAAGGCACTCTTTTTTTATTCTTGTACAGAAATGTAAATATTTATATATTTGTGAAATAAATTGTTTAAAGGTCTTTTTGTACCATAGCATTGACTATTGATCAATTTTACATAATGCTAAACAGTAAAGTCACTACCAATATTGTAATAAGTACTATAGGTAACATGGAAACATAGCTAGCAAAGGTATTCAGTCCCATGCATATGGAAGTCCACATCCTGAAAATGCCTATACTTGAAAAATTAAAATTTCACGAACAACTGCATAACTTTCAAGAATGATAATCTAACAAGCAGGCTGGTAAGCAAACTGAAGCTGTATTCAAGTCCCATTAATCAATTCTGTTAGTTTAATAATATACTTTTTTTCCTTATCATGTTTACGAGGGAAGTGCATGATAACGGGGCAACAGACACAGGTGATGGCTACATGTCCAGACACTGTGTCTGTCCATAAAAAGTAAGAAAAAGATATATTTAATGACCTGATCAGACTTGGTAACTTCGTTCCACAGTTTATTTCCAGCACAATGTCATTTTTACACAGATAAGAGTATTCTTTACATGTGTTTGCTATTGTCTCTTTGCTTTCAGGTACTATACTGCTATTAAGTATAGCAAGATAAATAAGAAAAAAAAAAAAGATATTTGATTTGTTGATCATACTACTTACAACTAATGACTAAAATAACTAGACAGTAACAATGGCAAATATACAGACACCCAGAAACAATTTGGGCAAAATATGCAACAGGCTTTTGAGCATCCACTGTGATTTTGTTCAGAAATGTAATGAAAAATTTGTTAAAAATACTTTTGGCCAATGCAATACCAATAAACAAACTTAATACAAAATAACAAATATAACAAGAGGAAGGTTTACAAACAGTTGTGGTGTCTTTGAAATCTATGCACAACAAAAAGGAAGACAACGATGCAAAAGTATGCATTTCCTTAAATACAATAATTTAAAGGCCTTTTCACAATAAGCATGGCATCTCAACATTGTATCACACCACAGGGGACTTAATTGCTTGAAGAAGTTTGCTGCTTTTTTGGCAGAAAATCTATCTGTTATCCTGGAGGATGAGGGACCCATTTAAAGATTTGCTTACAAAAATGCCAAGCTATACTAAGCAGTCACAGAACGTTCAAGTTGGAACACCAAGATAAAATGCATGACGTGGAAAGACCATAAGTTAAAGCTTTTTGTCATTTTTAGCTCAGAAATGCCGATAATCCACACAAGAAATCATCTTCAACACATGTTCTAAGATTATTATGAAAATTCACAAAATTTGTAACATGTCTTCTCTGATCACAAATACAATATCGAAAACTGATTCTCTTTCAATAAGCCATAAAAAAACATCTTTAACAAAATACAGAAATAATCAACTAAATGCATGACAACAATTCACCAAAATTTTGTGACTCAAAATCCAAAATTGCACGAATATTTATTTTACAAAATAAAGAGTACAGTACAAAACTGCCATGGAAACCCGAAAAAGATTAATGAAATCTTTATAGCTGCTCTTGAAAATAAATGAAGCATAAATAAATGAGCTAACAGCATCTAGTGCATTTTACGGCCAAATATTTTCTACAATAATTATAATAACAGTTATTACAATAAAACTTCAACAAAATTCCACCAATAATGCAATTTTAAAGCTTTTTAAGCTGCACATGGACAGATAAATACATCTTCTTGTTTTAAGTTATATGTTAAAAAAAAAAACTTATGGACACTCTAATAAACAAGTAACAGGATCATCAAAATAACAATATCCCCAACAACAACACCCATTCTCAGCTACAATACCTTGGTAGATCCAGGCACTGAAGAGCTATCTAATGTAACATTAACTGGTGAAATTTGAGGCATTCTTTTTTTTTTTTTCTTTTTGCTTCTGTGGGTCTCAACGTACATTCTTCCCCTTTTGGACCTAGGGTTTTCCACAATTTCTGGGAGCCCCTTGCTGTTACTCTTATTTTTTCTTTTTTTTAATATCTTAAGCATATCAGGTCAGTAGCCAGCAATTTCAAAGGGGGGTCTTTTTTTTGAAAAAGTGAACCTTTTCTCATAAAATCTTCATGAACCTTAATCAAATTTTACCCAGAGTGGAGCTTTTCCAGCAAAAAGGGTGGTTCGTTCGAACCCTTGAACCTCCCCTGATTATGAGCCTGCATGTTGTAGTTTTCATACATCAGTACACTAATATTGCCTCAGTCAATATAACAATTGGTTAAATACATATTCTTTAATCTGATGATTTCCTTTTATGGGCTACCTCAACGGAAAAGGTCTATAAATAATGCACTCTCCCATGTTTGTTTGTTTTCAAATATACAGTTTCAACCTAGTACATCTCCATCAGACCTTTTTGCTATATCAGGTCTTAATAAATCAATAAATAATTTTATACATTCACCACAATATCACTTTACTTTTATCAAACATGTTAATGCTGTAATAATCTGACATGTGAATGAGCAAAAAAAAAAAAAAGTAAATAAAAATAAAGGTATTTAATGAATTTGAAAACATGATTAGCTCAACCCACTGATAATGGTGCACTTTTCATCAATTCAAATACCCACGTCCACATTTACAATGACAGTGCTGAGGTCTTATTGTTTATCATTCTTACTGTCAACATATAAATTACAACTCTGCATGGGAAAAATCAAGCCAACTTGCAGGAGAACTTTTTATCCTGCTCAGATTCTGCTGAAAGTACATTCCATACCTTGATGTCTACAATTATAATTCAAGACTCAATAAAACATGATGAAAATTTGCTTCTCTTGTTTCATCTAAGAGGAAGCCAGTCCCTTTCCCATCATACATACAAACCTAGATCAGACTTTTGTGTAAAGTAACTGCCATAAGTACATGGAAGGATAATGAAACCCTGTTTTAAATAACAGCTGGTTCTTGTACACCAGAACTTGCTTATAATTCTGCACAAAAAAAGAGTTTGTAAGCACATGACACTTTTTAAGATTTAACAGCAACGTCTGATGGTTCAAGACATAGAAACCAGCATGCATGTCATCTAGGCACCAACAACTTCACAAATTTTAACACAATGACGATGTATAGGCAAGCAAATTATGAATTCCTGTGCTTCAAGTAGTGGAAAAACCAGTCCATTTTCGTTGTCCAGGCACCGCCATGAGCCTCGTTCAGGTTCTGCTGGAAATACTCGATGGCCTCTTCCTCAGATTTTTCCACTGCCAGGGTCTTTCGCAAGTACCCGATATCATCAGGAGACTGAAGTTCGGGAATCCCACAAGACAGCATCATGGAGAAGAGAGTAATGAAGAGCTGAGCGTGTTTCCTCAGAATAATGTAGGCCTTCCCACACAGCTCTGTGAATCTAAGAACAAAAATGAGTAGTGTGAGTTAGCTTGTAATTGATCTAAAAATCAAATTTTAAAATCCCCTTTCTGTATAACATGTGAAGAAAATCAGAGGGCACACATATTAATTGCTGGCTCAGTATTCTATTCCTTCTAAACATCACTAGGGGCTTTACCAGAATCATACACATTTAAGATTTTTATCTCTATATATTGCTTTGTTTAGAAATTTTTTATTGAATATATTTTCCATGTGATTATCCCTTTTACTATCTATTAACATTTTTCTAAATGTACTTTATCCCCCCTTTACAATAATTATTTTTCAGTAGCCACACTTGGCTATGGTCTTACTTGCCAAACTCCTCGGTTTTCTCTGGGTTATCAGCACCTTTTGCTATGACATGTATGAAATCTTCTGTTAGGACGAAGGGCACCCTCTCCCTGTTGATCCCAAATTTCTTCTTCCTATGGTCCAGAAAATGCCCAAAGTCTATATGGAATACCTGATAGTAGAAATGTATAATTGGTTCAATTTCAAGATACTTTGTTACTTACAGATTTTTCATCAGCTCCTCTTTTGCCATGCTTAAACTTACTTTAAACATAATACAACATATTGCATCAATTTATTCTTTTTTTTAATTTTGATTTTGCCTGTCCCCTATCCTAAAGACAAAGAACACTCACCTGTCCCTCCTCATTCACCATGATATTATCAGGGTGTCTGTCACCAATCCCTAATACAAATGTAGCAACACAGTACCCAGCACAAGACTTGGTGAAGGTTTCTATGGCCAGCTGGTATCTGAAATCCAATATAGTTCAGCATTATATTATGTGACTTATATTCTTATCAGGCATTTCATTCATTCATCTACTTCTTTTCTCTCTCTCTCTCTCTCTCTCTCTCTCTCTCTCTCTCTCTCTCTCTCTCTCTCTCTCTAAGACATACTTGTCCCCCTTGTTCTTCTCCTTGATCCACTTGTGTAGCTGGGAGCTGTCCAGCTGCATGGCCGACTTCTTGCCACGCTTCTTCTGAATTCCCAGCACTGTCTTTGAATTCCTCACAGCTTCTATCATCCCCACATTGGACCCTGTGGACAGGCAGCCGTAGGGGCTCATCCTGAAATAAAAAACAAGAAATCTGGTAGGTAAATATAAGAGCATTAAGCAAAGTGATAATGAAGAATGACCTTCACACAACAACAACCAACAAAACTCAGCAGCTATTTACACAAATAGAATCATGACCCAAGCTTTAGAAATGATTTCTATTTTTTAGCTGCACTGTACCCAATGGAGTAACTATCCAGGGCAAAAATCGATAAAAAACACTGACATCTAGATAACACAATACCCTCACACTAATAAAATATATCCCTGACAGGGAGATGACGTCCAGCCAGGGAATAATTTGCCAGCTAGAACCCACCTCAAATCTAACCCCTCCTCCTGCCATATATTGTCCATAATGCCAATGACCTGTAAGGTCAGCATGTCCTGGCGCAAATCTGAAATATGGCAACACATACATTTGTACATGCAGCTTGTATATAGGACAAAGCAATTAATACACAGTCCTCCTACTAAGTTGGCATATGTTTTTGTAATCATATGCATATTCTTACAAAAAAGAAATCTGCTACCAGGAAAATCAACAGATCTTTTTGCAATTATCAAATGACCTTTATTCGCTAAAAAAAAAAAGAGCCCTAATCTGCAAATAAATTTAGTGTTTCTTATACAGTCTTACATACACATTGACATATTAGATGTTTTATGCATATTATTTATAGTATTGCATTGTGATGAATTGTAATGCATTGCATCAAGTAGGATAATAATAGCTTTGGCTTGTATTGTACTGTTGTACATTAAGACAGTATCTTTTTTTTTTTTTTCAAACATACTGCTTCTTTTTCAAATTTTTTAATTCACCGATGTCATAATACAGGAAAACATTACCCACCATCTCCATTTTTGAAGATGATTTTCCAGTCCTTAAAGAGGAGATCAGCCATTGGGTCTGGATTCTTCCACACCAGCCACACAGGGCGCTTCTTTGATGTCTTCACCTCGCAATGTTCTATCCTGCAAGATTTCACACATCAGTCATGAAAGTTTAAAATTTATCTATTACGCAATATATCCAGACAGAAAGTCAGTTAAGCCTTTGGTCTATTCAGTAGATTTTGGTTAAAACTTTTACCACCAGATGTCATTCCTCACCTACTTCTCATGGAAATCTAAGGGTGCATTCCCATGGATTTTAGATCGATCTATCCCTGGCTTAAATGTCCATCCCGCCTACTAAGGGGGTACTTAACTTTCGTGCCTGCTCGTTTGACAGCTATTTAGCGTGAACCCCCAGGGAGTTAGGTCAATCTAGTTGGATCGATCTAATCTCTGGGAATGGGGTCTAAGAGCGCATTCAGAACAGAGGACTTACGTATCCGCAGATCAACTATGGCTGACCCACTATGACATGCCAAGATTATGCTCAGTCTATTGTTACAGTATTAGGTTATTGTGCAGTTGGAACTGAAAAGTCTAATTCTCATAAGGTTTACGGTATTGCTACTTTAAATGTGTAATAGTTTTTCCCATATTCCTCAGCCATTGTATAAAGAAATATGAAACATCAAAGACTTACTCCAGATCTCCCAATATTTCACTATTATTGAGTGGTGACTGGAAGGACTGCAGGGCCTCCAGGTAGTCCATTTGTCTAATATGGTCTAGTAACACAGCTTTCTGTTGATCCTGAAAAGAATTCCACATAAAATTCATTAACTTTGCTGCAACAGGTCAAATTCTCAAAGATTTTNTACACTACTGTATCACTGACTGCACGCTTCCTAACTCTTCTGCACACAGGATACTAAAGCTGATGGGGAATAGATAACACTACTGTTACTGTGCAAGCACAAGCTATCAGGTTAAGTATATTCATTTTGAGGATTTACATTGACAGCCACAGGTGGTTCCAGATGGTTAATCTCTGGCTCCAGGCAGACCCCTTGCCGAAACAAAAAATTTGTTATCACCCTCCTTTCTCCCCCACCCCCCCCCCCCCGGACCCCCTCCAGAAAGAAAAAAAAAAAAGGACATGAAAATTAGTTATACAAAACCCTGAGTTCTACAGAGCAATGCAGTACAATTATCAATTATTGGCCTCCTCCTCTCTCCTAAAAATCCTGGAACCATCTGGCTGGATATATTGTTTGTGGGCACTCATTATTTATCAAAACAAGGATATTTTATTTCTAATTGCACCATATGTAACTTATGTAAGTTTTGAATTGCTTGAATAATGTCTGTGCAGTTGTTTCAATCTGTAGCTATATGAGAGTATTGCCTTCAATATTTTATTGGCTATTAGGTCTTAGTTCCTACAAATAAAAGGAGAGTTCTGATATCTAGCTGTTGATTGAAGAAACTGAATAGACTACACCATGCAATTGTTTTAATTCTCTGCCTGGTTTTAGCAAATTGCTCCAAGTGTTGAGTTAAATGTTTTTTTTTTTAAATTAAAACTGTTACTAACACCAGTATGGATTCATAATGAAAGGTTCTGATATTGGAAGCTGAAAAAGATGAAACTGTTCTAAATCTCTTTTTGAAAACTTGTATTTTTGAACATAATCAACAAGTATTTAGAATTATTTACTTCACCATGTAATGTTATGTTGATGCTTCTTGAAAATTTTCATCATTACATTGTACATTTTTTAAGTGTATTTTGCAAATTTAAAAAAAGTTTTTGTATGGAGCATTGAGAGTTTACGGGGTGTGCCATATAAGTAATTATGTTAATAATTATTATTGTCACAATTATTTTACCAGGTTGGTGATGCAGAGATGATTGAGGATGAACCAGATGATGCGTGAAGACAATGACAGTGGTTTTTTAACATTGCCATTGAAGAACTGAAGACTGTTTACACACGAAGAAACTTGATTGCTTCAGCATGAGGAGTCTTAGTCATCTTTCAGCGGAAATGTGGACCTTTTCTCATTTTCCGTCTTTCTTTCATTACTCTGGGCAAAAAATATTGTTGACATAGAACAAAACTGAATTTTTTAAAATTCTTATTTTGAACTCTGGGACCAGCAGTTTATAGATGTAGATACAAAAACATCTTTGGAATAAGAGGCCTTGATTTTCTGATTTGCATGGCATGTGAACTTTATGAGGAGAATAACAGGAAAGAAAAGAAAACGGTCATATTAATATTGTACAAAAATGCATAAAAAATGTATTTTGGAAACTGACCTTTTACTTTCAGAGTAAACAATTGCAATGAACTCTGGAAAAATTTACCCTCATTATTTTCAAAGAAAATGTGAAAATAATTTAGTCTTGAAAAACAAAGTTATGAACAGAAAGGAGGTTTTAAAAAATTTTGTATGGCTTTGGTATTATGATTAGTATTTTTTGCGAGAATTACGGAAAAAAAAGGCACTTTTTTATTCTTGTACAGAAATGTAAATATTTATATATTTGTGAAATAAATTGTTTAAAGGTCTTTTTGTACCATAGTATTGACTATTGATCAATTTTACATAATGCTGAACAGTAGAGTCACTACCAATATTGTAGTAAGTACTATAGGTAACATGGGAACATAGCTAGCAAAGGTCTTCAGTCCCATGCATATGGAAGTCCACATCCTGAAAATGCCAATACTTGAAAAATTAAAATTTCACGAACAACTGCATAACTTTCAAGAATGATAATCCAACAAGCAGGCTGGTGAGCAAACTGAAGCTGTATTCAAGTCCCATTAATCAATTCTGTTAGTTTAATAATACAATTTTTTTCCTTATCATGTTTATGAGGGAAGTGCATGATAACGGGGCAACAGACACAGGTGATGGCTACATGTCCAGACACTGTGTCTGTCCATAAAAAGTAAGAAAAAGATATATTTAATGACCTGATCAGACTTGGTAACTTCATTCCACAGTTTATTTCCAGCACAATTACATTTTTACACAGATAAGAGTATTCTTTACATGTTTTTGCTATTGTCTCTTTGCTTTCAGGTACTATACTGCTTTTAAGTATAGCAAGATAAATAAGAATAAAAAAAAGATATTTGATTTGTTGATCAGACTACTTCCAACTAATGACTAAAATAACTAGACAGTAACAATGGCAAATATACAGACACCCAGAAACAATTTGGGCAAAATATGCAACAGGCTTTTGAGCATCCACTGTGATTTTGTTCAGAAATGTAATGAAAAATTTGTTAAAAATACTTTTGGCCAATGCAATACCAATAAACAAACTTAATACAAAATAACAAATATAACAAGAGGAAGGTTTACAAACAGTTGTGGTGTCTTTGAAATCTATGCACAACAAAAAGGAAGACAACGATGCAAAAGTATGCATTTCCTTAAATACAATAATTTAAAGGCCTTTTCACAATAAGCATGGCATCTCAACATTGTATCACACCACAGGGGACTTAATTGCTTGAAGAAGTTTGCTGCTTTTTTGGCAGAAAATCTATCTGTAATCCTGGAGGATGAGGGACCCATTTAGAGATTTGCTTACAAAAATGCCAAGCTACTAAGCAGTCACAGAACGTTCAAGTTGGAACACCAAGATAAAATGCATGATGTGGAAAGACCATAAGTTAAAGCTTTTTGTCATTTTTAGCTCAGAAATGCCAATAATCCACACAAGAAATCATCTTCAACACATGTTCTAAGATTATTATGAAAATTCACAAAATTTGTAACATGTCTTCTCTGATCACAAATACAATATCGAAAACTGATTCTCTTTCAATAAGCCATAAAAACATCTTTAACAAAATACAGAAATAATCAACTAAATGCATGACAACAATTCACCAAAATTTTGTGACTCAAAATCCAAAATTGCACGAATATTTATTTTACAAAATAAAGAGTACAGTACAAAACTGCCATGGAAACCCGAAAAAGATTAATGTAATCTTTATAGCTGCTCTTGAAATAAATGAAGCATAAATAAATGAGCTAACAGCATCTAGTGCGTTTTACGGCCAAATATTTTCTACAATAATTATAATAACAGTTATTACAATAAAACTTCAACAAAATTCCACCAATAATGCAATTTTAAAGCTTTTTAAGCTGCACATGGACAGATAAATACATCTTCTTGTTTTAAGTTATATGTTAAAAAAAAAAAAACTTATGGACACTCTAATAAACAAGTAACAGGATCATCAAAATAACAATATCCCCAACAACAACACCCATTCTCAGCTACAATACCTTGGTAGATCCAGGCACTGAAGAGCTATCTAATGTAACATTAACTGGTGAAATTTGAGGCATTCTTTTTTTTTTCTTTTTGCTTCTGTGGGTCTCAACGTACATTCTTCCCCTTTTGGACCTAGGGTTCTCCACAATTTCTGGGAGCCCCTTTCTGTTACTCTTATTTTTTCTTTTTTTTAATATCTTAAGCATATCAGGTCAGTAGCCAGCAATTTCAAAGGGGGTTCTTTTTTTTGAAAAAGTGAACCTTTTCTCATAAAATCTTCATGAACCTTAATCAAATTTTACCCAGAGTGGAGCTTTTCCAGCAAAAAGGGTGGTTCGTTCGAACCCTTGAACCTCCCCTGATTATGAGCCAGCATATTGTAGTTTTCATACATCAGTACACTAATATTGCCTCAGTCAATATAACAATTGGTTAAATACAAATTCTTTAATCTGATGATTTCCTTTTATGGGCTACCTCAACGGAAAAGGTCTATAAATAATGCACTCTCCCATGTTTGTTGGTTTGCTTTCAAATATACAATTTCAACCTTGTACATCTCCATCAGACCTTTTTGCTATATCAGGTCTTAATAAATCAATAAATAATTTTATACATTCACCACAAAATCACTTTACTTTTATCAAACAGGTAATGCTGTAATAATCTGACATGTGAATGAGCAAAAAAAAAAAAGTAAATAAAAATAAAGGTATTTAATGAATTTGAAAACATGATTAGCTCAATCCACTGATAATGGTGCACTTTTCATCAATTCAAATACCCACGTCCACATTTAGAATAATTAGTAAGTGCTGAAGTCTTATTGTTTATCATTCTTACTGTCGACATATAAATTACAACTCTGCATGGGAAAAATTCAAGCCAACTTGCAGGAGAACTTTTTATCCTGCTCAGATTCTGCTGAAAGAACATTCCATACCTTGATGTCTACAATTATAATTCAAGACTCAATAAAACATGAAGAGAATTTGCTTCTCTTGTTTCATCTAAGAGGAAGCCAGTCCCTTTCCCATCATACATACAAACCTAGATCAGACTTTTGTGTAAAGTAACTGCCATAAGTACATGGAAGGATAATGAAACCCTGTTTTAAATAACAGCTGGTTCTTGTACACCAGAACTTGCTTATAATTCTGCACAAAAAAAGAGTTTGTAAGCACATGACACTTTTTAAGATTTAACAGCAACGTCTGATGGTTCAAGACATAGAAACCAGTCCATGCATGTCATCTAGGCACCAACAACTTCACAAATTTTAACACAATGACGATGTATAGGCAAGCAAATTATGAATTCCTGTGCTTCAAGTAGTGGAAAAACCAGTCCATTTTCGTTGTCCAGGCACCGCCATGAGCCTCGTTCAGGTTCTGCTGGAAATACTCGATGGCCTCTTCTTCAGATTTTTCCACTGCGAGGGTCTTACGCAAGTACCCGATATCATCAGGAGATTGAAGTTCAGGAATCCCACACGACAGCATCATGGAGAAAAGAGTGATGAAAAGCTGGGCATGTTTCCTCAGAATGATGTAGGCCTTCCCACACAGCTCTGTGAATCTGAGAACAAAAATGAGTAGTGTGAGTTAGCTTGTAATTGATCTAAAAATCAAATTTTAAAATCCCCTTTCTGTATAACGGGAAGAAAATCAGAAGGCACACATATCATGTCTTTTCCTATCATTTGCAATGTAGTTATGTACAAGAGATCATTCCAAATTATATAGTAATCATGTCGTAGTTTAGACTTTTGTATTTTAATATAATGTCACATTCTTATATCCACAAGTTCATTTTCACCAGTACATGATGGTGCAAAAGATCCAGCAATTTCAAAAGGGGGGTTCTTTTTCTAAAAACAGTGGATCTTATACCATGAAACCTCTGTGTGCCCAGGTCAATTTTACCCAGAGGGGACCTTTTCCCAGCGAAAAAAGGGGGTTCTTTTGAAACCCCACCCACCCTTTACAGGCCTGGATACATTAAATATTGTCCTGTAACCACGCTTGGCTATGATCTTACTTGCCAAACTCCTCAGTTTTCTCAGGGTTATCAGCACCTTTAGCTATGACATGTATGAAATCTTCTGTGAGGACGAAGGGAACCCTCTCCCTGTTGATCCCAAATTTCTTCTTCCTATGGTCCAGAAAATGCCCAAAGTCTATATGGAATACCTGATAGTAGAAATGTATAATTGGCTCAATTTCAAGATAATTTGCTACTTACAGATTTTTTCATCAGCTCCTCTTTTGCCATGCCTAAACTTACTTTAAACATAATACAACATATTGCATCAATTTATTCTTTTTTTTTATTTTGATTTTGCCTGTCCCCTATCCTAAAGACAAAGAACACTCACCTGTCCCTCCTCATTCACCATGATATTATCAGGGTGCCTGTCACCTATCCCTAATACAAAGGTAGCCACACAGTACCCTGCACAAGACTTGGTGAAGGTTTCTATGGCCAGCTGGTATCTGAAATCCAATATAGTTCAGCATTATATTATGTGACTTATATTCTTATCAGGCATTTCATTCATTCATCTACTTCTTTTCTCTCTCTCTCTCTCTCTCTCTCAGACATACTTGTCCCCCTTGTTCTTCTCCTTGATCCACTTGTGTAGCTGGGAGCTGTCCAGCTGCATGGCCGACTTCTTGCCACGCTTCTTCTGAATTCCCAGCACAGTCTTTGAATTCCTCACCGCTTCTATCATCCCCACATTGGACCCTGTGGACAGGCAGCCATAGGGACTCATCCTGAAATAGAAAACAAGAAATCTGGTAGGTAAATGTACCACCCCATTTCCATAGATTTTTAGATCGATCTATCCCTGTGGGGAGTCTCACTAGATTACTGTCAGCTTGGCCGGCTTAAGCGTCTGTCCCGCCTACTAAAAGCTGTAAGGGGGTAATTAACTATGGTGCCCGCTCGGCTGACTGCAATTTAGCGTGAACCCCCAGGGAGTTAGGTCGATCTAAATCTTAATCTTTAGATCAATCTAAATCTCTGGGAAAGCACCCTAAGAGTGTTAAGTCAAGTGATAATAGAGAATGGCCTTCACACAACAACAACAACCAACACACCTCAGCAGCAATTTTCACAAAGAGAATCATAACTGTACCCACGGAGTAACTATCCAGTGCAAAAATCGATAAAAAAAAACTGACATCTTGACAAAACAATGCCCTCACACTAATATACTATATCCCTGACAGGGAGATGATGTCCAGTCAGAGGATAATTTGCCAGATAGGACCTACCTCAAATCTAACCCCTCCTCCTGCCATATATTGTCCATGATGCCAATGACCTGTAGGGTCAGCATGTCCTGGCGCAAATCTGAAATGTAGCAACAGATACTTTTGTACACACAGCTTGTATAAGTCGGCAAATGTTTTTGCAATCATATGCATATTCTTACAAAAAAGAAATCTGCTACCAGGAAAATCAACAGATCTTTTTGCAATTATCACATGAACTTTATTCTTTAAGAAAAGAGCCCTAATCTATAAATAAATTTAGTGTTTTTTATCGGTCTTACTTACACACTGACATATTAGATGTATTATGCATATTATAATGTATAGTATTGCATTGTGATGTATTGCATCAAGTGGAATTATAATAGCTTTGTCTTGTACTGTGCTGTTTTAGATTAAGGCAGTTTCCCTTTTTTTCCCAAACATACTTTTTCTTAATTTTTTAATTCACCATGCTCTACTTTCAGCCATAATGAAAGAAAACTACTCACCATCTCCATTTTTGAAGATGATTTTCCAGTCCTTAAAGAGGAGATCAGCCATTGGGTCCGGATTCTTCCAAACCAGCCACACAGGGCGCTTCTTTGATGTCTTCACCTCGCAATGTTCTATCCTGCAAGATTTCACACGTCAGTCATGAAAGTTTAAGATTTATTTATTACCCCATATATCCATAAAGAAAGTCAGATAAGCTTTTGGTCTATTCAGTAGACTTTAGTCATCTTTGTCCACCAGATGTCACTGCTCCCCTATCTCTCATGGAAATCTAAGAGCACATTCAAAACAGCCAATCCGCGGACCAAATATGGCCAAGTCACTATGACATGCCAAGATTATGCTGAGTCTATTGCTAAAAACCTAATTCTGATACAGGTTTACGGTATTGTTATGGTAATAGTTTATCAGATATTTGTCAGTTGTTGTATGAAGATATATGAAACATCAAAGACTTACTCCAGATCTCCCAATATTTCACTGTTATTGAGTGGTGACTGGAAGGACTGCAGGGCCTCCAGGTAGTCCATTTGTCTAATATGGTCCAGTAACACAGCTTTCTGTTGATCCTGAAAAGAATTCCACATAAAAATTCATTAACTTTGCTGCAACAATTCATTAACTTTGCTGCTGCTCAAAATTTTCTTAGATTTTATATTAAACAAGGAAAAATTTTAATTTAAAAAAGTGACTAATAGATGACTTTCTAATTTGACTTAAGAAAACTGCAAAAAGTTTTTTTTCTGTTCTTTTCCTTTTTTCACACTACAGTGAGCAGGGTTGAGACTGCAATCTGGTAAAAAGTCAGAAAATATAGTGTGTGGTCCAGAGGGGTGCCAAGGCCAATGAAATTTTTGACTCCAAAAAGTCGGAAATCTGCTGATAGTTGGAAAAAATCTCATCCCTGAGTGAGGCAAGCTTGGCCAGTCAAACCCACCTCTCTCTCATTCTTCAGTTTATTGGTCAACATGGTCAGTTTGTCCAGAGCTTCCACCTGTCTGACCAGTGACTTGAGGTATGCACCACACCCGCGACAGAACGCCTCTAACATCAGCCCAAAACGTTGCCGCGTCGCCACCTGGTACAGTTCCGACCTGGAGGAAAACAAGAAAAAACAAAAGTTGCAGTTTATTATTGATTTGGTCCTTTGTGTCTGTACATAAAAAATAGGAAAAAAAAATCATGACATCCTGTTATGGAAATCATATAAGCAACTCACATGGTGGGTCTAAACCTGATTAATTTGCCTATATAATCACCTCTCCAGCTTCGACATGGCAAATGTCGACGTGATTAGTCAGGCTGACATGTCCTCCATTCTTGGCAAGGTCACTTTCACACCATCTTAAAATAGCCTCTGAATCAAGCTTTTTTTTGAAATCTCACCTCCCTGCACCGTACTTAAACAGTGCATGTAGGTTTAAGGAAATCATACAAGCAATTCACATTGTGGGTCTTCTCCTGATAAACCTGTATGACAGGAATGGTAGTCTTAGGAATAGAAGTCTGGGGTCCCATGTGAGAAGTCCAGGTAAATATTTGGAGTATTGGGGCAAATTAATGAGATGAATGTCACCTGTACAAAGTAATGGGGAACAGACTACAATTCCTAGCAGCCTGCCATACCTGTCACACCTGCATATTTAATCACCTCTCCCACTTAGACAAGGCAAGGCAGGGCTTGACACTAACTTTTTTCAATACTGGCCCGAGATATCGGTAAATATTGCAAGGATGATTTGACACATGACATTTTACTTGCTCTTTGGGCCAGTGACCCCATCGATTCAATGGCCCTAGGTTGGTTTTCAGTGGCCCAGGGCCAGTGGACCACCCTTAATGTCAAACCCTGCAAGGGTCAACCTGACATGTCATGCTGACATGTCCTCCATTCTTTGGAAAGGTCACTTTCAAACCATCCTAAAATAACCTCCGAATCTAGCTTTTTTTGTAATCTTCTCACCTTCCTGCACTGTACTTAAACAGGGCATGTAGGTACAAGCACAGTTAGTCACTATCTTTGCTAAATTTCTCCAAACATTCGCAAACAGTTCAATATCAACCAAGGTATCCACATCTGACTAGACATAAACCATCATTTCTAGACCGAAAAAAAAAAAGAGGAATTTTCTCTGGAAAATAGGAACAAAAAAATGAATATCTAAAAACTTTAAAAAAAAAAAAAAAAAAAAAAAAAAAACACCTGTGCACCCTGTCAAGGAAATCATATAAGCAATTCACATGGCTTGTCTTCACCTGATTAACCTGCCTATATAATTACCTTTCCCACATTGAAATGGCATATGTCAACCTGACAAGTCACGCTGACATGCCCTTCATTCTTGGCAAGGTCACTTTCATACCATCCTAAAATAACCTCTGAATCTAGCTTTTCTGTAATCTTCTCACTTTCCTGCATTGTACGTCAACAGGGCATGTAGGTCCAAGCACAGTTGGTCAATATCTTTGCTAAATTTCTCCAAACCTTTGCAAACAGTTTAATATAGACTAAGGTATCTTCCTTTTTTTTTTATGATAACCAACATGACTTGACACATAACATCATTTCTAAATCCCCCAAGAAAGGGGAAAAAACAGGGGAAAAAAGGAATTTCCCCCCCAAAATGGGAGAAATAGGCCAATGTTAAAAAAAAAAGGAATTAATAAGAACTTGATGCCTGCATTACAGGAAGGGTCCAAAATCATTCCAGTTAACAGCTTCCTTTTTAATATCGTTGTGTCATTAATGTGCCTTTATATAATTTCAACTGAAGAAACATTACATACTTTTATGTTGTTTAATATACCAAGACTAATAAATAAGAGCCCTTACTTGAGGTGCCAAAACAGAAAATGTCCAATATTCTGATTGAGCAGCGCCCTCTTCAGTAGAAATCTGGCCAAATCATTGTCTAAATACGGCTCATACTTGAGGACCTGAACCAACTGAAGCAAGTAGCGTGAAAGACAGTCGTCATCCAGCCCCTGGTCTAAACATTTCACAGCAAACCTTCTGACGTAGAGATCATTGTAGGTGAAGTCTAAGAGCTCTAATGCAATTTCTGGCGACACAACGGACCACTCTCTCAGCAACATATACAACTGCAAAATATAACAACAAATTTACAACTAATACATATTTTCCTTGTATTTGTTGCCATAATGCTCTCAACAGACAAATTCTGTATCTGACATATGGAATCATGTATGGAAAAGACATTAAAAACTCAATTCACAAATTACAAAGTGCTGTCTATGTAATTTATTATAGTCCTAAATTTCATTCTATTCCTCTTTTTCAAGTCATAAATAAATGTCATAATATCTAATTTAAAAGCCGTACTTGTGCCACATCTTTCCTAGAGTCCCATTTTACAGCTGCCAGTAATTTTGGTAGAGAGTCCGGGTGATTCTTCTTACAGAAGTTCCTGGTGGATAAAAAACATTAAAGATAATAAAAAAATTGACAATCAGACATTCAACAGACGGATGTAAAGTATATTGATATTATTGAATCTTTTGACATTGCACCAGTTTTTTTTCCTTTTTCTTTTTTTTTTCAATAGTCATTTGTCATTTCATTCAATTGTCAATCTTAGCATTGTTAAAACAGCAAATAGCCAATTTTTGACATATTAACTGTAACATCAAATTAGCTTTAAGAAAACATCCCATAATTTTATACTTATAAAGCAAATATTTCACCGAGGGGATTTTGTTACACCTGTCAAGAAGAGCAATTTTTTCCATGCCATATTCATACATTTCACACATCACATGTGACCCCGAACACTCATCTATTATTGAAAATGCAACAGATTATGCACATCTTACAATAAATAAAATAAAATAAAATAAAATAAAATAAAATAAAATAAAATAAAATAAAANGCCCAGCTGGCTAGTATGATGTGAGAATCTCAATGCACCCTTAATTATTATATAGGACCAAGTGTTGCAAATAAAATAAAATAAAATAAAATAAAAAAAAAAAAAAAATAACCTTGATAATATCTCACTTACCTCATTTTCCAGAGCAATTCTTTCTCCTGTTCAGAGATCTCAGCCAGCGGATCTCTCTTCAGGACCTCGATGAGGTCTTCCTGTAAGTTCTTGTCCATGTCTGGCCATGTGTTTTGCTGGAAGGAACGAAACATATCACAAGAAAAAGTCTTCAATACACACACACACACACACACACACACACACACACACACACACACACACACACACACACACACACACACACACACATGTGCATGTTTGCATGCATGTACACACATACACCTTTGCTTTGTTTGCACTGACTTTAAACGGAGAAGATGAGTGTTCATCAGTATAACAAAATATATGTTGTTGTACAGAGAAATTGTACTGACTGATTCCAACTTTCCCTCTGCTCACAGTGCCATCTAAACTAACGGTTTATCTTGCAATTTTTAATGTTTTATCACAAGATCTCCAAACTAAATAAACAAGTTTTTTTTCTTTACTCGGATTTGGTCACTTAGAGCACTTGGCAACTATTTTATACTTTACAAGCATATCAAGAAAACTCACAGGTATAAGAGGTGCCGTCGTGGAGCCTCTTGCGTGTATGGAGTCTGGATTGAGATTATTGATCCAGCGCGCATATTCCTCAATCTGTTGTTCTTTGGGGAATGACACTGGCATCGCAAATCTGTCAAATTCGATCTCAAGACAAGCGGAGTCTTTCCTAGGGTTTGGCCCTGAGACAAAAATGATATTGCGCTAAAGCGCATTCAGAACAGTGGACTAACAGATCTGCGGATTAAATATGGCAGCCCACTAAAAAGCTTGCTGTTTAATTCCTGATTAGACACTGCATAGATTTCCTGTGAGGACTACACATCAAGCATTCAAGTGAATCGGCCATATTTGATCCACGGATCATCGACAGCCATGTTGCAAATTTTGATGTTATCTTGGGAGGACTTATACATTTAGGGTTTTGAAATATATATTACATTCAGTATATTGTTTTGCAGACTTTCAAAAATATATTCTCTTACCAGGAGTCCTTATTGGATTGAGCATTTCATCCGTGTCTGTACATAAAAAATGTGTTTTCTCTTACCAGGAGTTCCTATAGGATTAAGCATTTCATCTGTGTCTGTATATAAAAACTGTGTATTCTCTTACCAGGAGTCCCNTCTGTGTCTGTACATAAAAAGCTGACTTGAAGATGACTTTCTAATTTGACTTAATAAAAATGCAAAATATATATTTTTCTTTCCTTTTTTTTGCACGTGAACATATGCTGCCATTTGGCGAAAAAGTTGGAAAATACAGCATGGGGTCCAGGGGGCGCCTAGGCCATTGAAATTTTTTACTCCAAAAAGTCAGAAATCTGCCGATGGTTGGAAAAAAATCTCATCCCTGAAAGAGCCTAGCTTGACCAGTCAAACTAACCTCTCTCTCATTCTTCAGTTTATTGGTCAACATGGTCAGTTTGTCCAGAGCTTCCACCTGTCTGACCAGTGACTTGAGGTATGCGCCACACCCGCGGCAGAACGCCTCTAACATCAGCCCGAAACGTTGCCGCGTCGCCACCTGGTACAGTTCTGACCTGAAGGAAAACAAGAAAAAACAAAAATTTCAGTTCGTTATTGATTTGGTCCTTTGTGTCTGTACATAAAAAATAGGAAAAAAACAACACATGACATCCTGTTATGGAAATCATATAAGCAACTCACATGGTGGGTCTAAACCTGATTATTTGCCTATATAATCACCTCTCCAGCTTCGACATGGCAAATGTCAACGTGACAAGTCAGGCTGACATGTCCTCCATTCTTGGCAAGGTCACTTTCACACCATCTTAAAATAGCCTCTGAATCAAGCTTTTTTTTTTAAATCTCACCTTCCTGCACCGTACTAAAACAGTGCATGTAGGTCCAAGGAAATCATATAAGCAATTCACATTGTGGGTCTTCTCCTGATAAGCCTGTATGACAGGAATGTTAGTCTTAGGAATAGAAGTCTGGGGTCCCATATGAGAAGTCCAGGTAAATATTTGAAGTATTGGGGTTAACTTATGAGATGAACACCGCCTGTACAAAGTAATGGGGAACAGACTACAGTTCTTAGTGGACTACCATCCCTGTCACACCTGCCTATATAATCACCTCTCCCACTTAGACAAGGCAAGGGTCAACCTGACAAGTCGTGCTGACATGTCTTCCATTCTGTGACAAGGTCACTTTCAAACCAGCTTTTTTGTACTCTTCTCCCCTTCCTGCCCAGTACTTCAACAGGGCATGTAGGCCCAAGCACAGTCACTATCTTTGCTAAATTTCTCCAAACATTCACAAACAGTTCAATATCAACCAAGGCATCCACATCTGACTAGACATAAACCATCATTTCTAGACCGAAAAAAAAAGGAATTTTCTCTGGAAAATAGGAACAAAAAAATGAATATCTAAAAAATTAAAAAAAAAAAAAGAAAGAAAAACACCTGTGCACCCTGTCAAGGAAATCATATAAGCAATTCACATGGCTTGTCTTCACCTGATAAACATGCCTATATAATTACTTCTCCCACATTGAAATGGCATATGTCAACCTGACAAGTCACGCTGACATGCCCTTCATTCTTGGCAAGGTCACTTTCATACCATCCTAAAATAACCTCTGAATCTAGCTTTTCTGTAATCTTCTCACTTTCCTGCATTGTACGTCAACAGGGCATGTAGGTCCAAGCACAGTTAGTCAATATCTTTGCTAAATTTCTCCAAACCTTTGTAAACAGTTTAATATAGACTAAGGTATCTACATTTTATTTTATGATAACCAACATGACTTGACACATAACATCATTTCTAAATCCCCCAAGAAAGGGGAAAAAACAGGGGGAAAAAAGGAAATTTCCCCCCAAAATGGGAGAAATAGGCCAATGTTTAAAAAAAAAAAGAAATTAATAAGAACTTGATGCCTGCATTACAGGAAGGGTCCAAAATCATTCCAGTTAACAGCTTCCTTTTTAATATCGTTGTGTCATTAATGTGCCTTTATATAATTTCAACTGAAGAAACATTACATACTTTTATGTTGTTTAATATACCAAGACTAATAAATAAGAGCCCTTACTTGAGGTGCCAAAACAGAAAATGTCCAATATTCTGATTGAGCAGCGCCCTCTTCAGTAGAAATCTGGCCAAATCATTGTCTAAATACGGCTCATACTTGAGGACCTGAACCAACTGAAGCAAGTAGCGTGAAAGACAGTCGTCATCCAGCCCCTGGTCTAAACATTTCACAGCAAACCTTCTGACGTAGAGATCATTGTAGGTGAAGTCTAAGAGCTCTAATGCAATTTCTGGCGACACAACGGACCACTCTCTCAGCAACATATACAACTGCAAAATATAACAACAAATTTACAACTAATACATATTTTCCTTGTATTTTGTTGCCATAATGCTCTCAACAGACAAATTCTGTATCTGACATATGGAATCATGTATGGAAAAGACATTAAAAACTCAATTCACAAATTACAAAGTGCTGTCTATGTAATTTAAATTTCATGCTATTCCTCTTTTTCAAGTCATAAATAATTGTCATAATATCTAATTTAAAAGCCGTACTTGTGCCACATCTTTCCTAGAGTCCCATTTTACAGCTGCCAGTAATTTTGGTAGAGAGTCCGGGTGATTCTTCTTACAGAAGTTCCTGGTGGATAAAAAACATTAAAGATAATAAAAAAATTGACAATCAGACATTCAACAGACGGATGTAAAGTATATTGATATTATTGAATCTTTTGACATTGCACCAGTTTTTTTTTCCTTTTTCTTTTTTTTTCAATAGTCATTTGTCATTTCATTCAATTGTCAATCTTAGTATTGTTAAAACAGCAAATAGCCAATTTTTGACATATTAACTGTAACACCAAATTAGCTTTAAGAAAACATCCCATAATTTTATACTTATAAAGCAAATATTTCACCGAGGGGATTTTGTAATACCTGGCAGGAAGAGCAATTTTTCCATGCCATATTCATACATTTCAAACATCACATGTGACCACGAACACTCATCTATTATTGAAAATGCAACAGATTATGCACATCTTACAATAAATGAAAGTTTAAAAAATAAAATAAAATAAAATAAAATAAAATAAAATAAAAATAAAATAAAATAAAATAAAATAAAAATAACCTTGATAATATCTCACTCACCTCATTTTCCAGAGCAATTCCTTCTCCTGTTCAGAGATCTCAGCCAGCGGATCTCTCTTCAGGACCTCGATGAGGTCTTCCTGTAAGTTCTTGTCCATGTCTGGCCATGTGTTTTGCTGGAAGGAACGAAACATATCACAAGAAAAAGTCTTCAATATACACACACACACACACACACACACACACACACACACACACACACACACACACACACACACACACACACACACACACACACACACACACACACACATGTGCATGTATGCACGCATGTACACACATACATGTTTGCTTTGTTTGCACTGACTTCAAACGGAGAAGATGAGTGTTCATCAGTGTTACAAAATATATGTTGTTGTACAGAGAAATTGTACTGACCGATTCCAACTTTCCCTCTGTTCACAGTGCCATCTAAACCAACGGGTTTTCTTGCAATTTTTAATGTTTTATCACAAGATCTCCAAACTAAATAAACAAGTTTTTTTCTTTACTCGGATTTGGTCACTTAGAGCACTTGGCAACTATTTTATACTTTACAAGCATATCAAGAAAACTCACAGGTATAAGAGGTGCAGTCGTGGAGCCTCTTGCGTGTATGGAGTCTGGATTGAGATTATTGATCCAGCGCGCATATTCCTCAATCTGTTGTTCTTTGGGAAATGACACTGGCATCGCAAATCTGTCAAATTCGATCTCAAGACAAGCGGAGTCTTTCCTAGGGTTTGGCCCTGAGACAAAAATGATATTGAGCTAAAGCGCATTCAGAACAGCGGACTAACAGATCTGCGGATTAAATATGGCAGCCCACTAAAAAGCTTGCTGTTTAATTCCTGATTAGACACTGAATAGATTTCCTGTGAGGACTACACATCAAGCATTCAAGTGAATCAGCCATATTTGATCCACGGATCATCGACAGCCATGTTGCAAATTTTGATGTTATCTTGGGAGGACTTATACATTTAGGGTTTTGAAATATATAATACTTCAGACTTTCAGAATATGCAGACTTTCAAAAATATATTCTCTTACCAGGAGTCCTTATTGGATTGAGCGTTTCATTCGTGTCTGTACATAAAAAATGTGTTTTCTCTTACCAGGAGTTTCTATAGGATTGAGCATTTATCTGTGTCTGTACATAAAAACTATGTATTCTCTTACCAGGTGACCCTATAGGATTGAGCATTTCATCTGTGTCTGTACATAAAAACTATGTATTCTCTTACCAGGTGACCCTATAGGATTGAGCATTTTATCTGTGTCTGTACATGAAAACTGTGTACTATCTTACCAGGAGTCCCTATAGGATTAAGCATTTCATCCAGACCGTGTGGTACAGGCCACAGCTGTAGACTGAGTCTGTCACTCTGGAGACGGTGATTGAAGTCAAACAGGTTGATATTGCCCCAAGCCAAAGGGTAGTGGACCTGAAAAATAAATATCACATTAATATAATGATGATTACATAGATGATAATATTAAGAAGAAAAAGAAGAAGAAATTCAAAAATGTTAGTATAAATAATGTAAATATGTTAGAGGTTTATAAAGGGCACATTAACTTTTAACTTATAAATTTTTTCACGACATATTCTGTTACACCTATACAAGATATTAATTCTGATGACATGTTAGATGAGTTAAAAAGTGTAGTTGTCTGATGATGTCAGTGTTTGGTAACAGGTGCAATTCCAAAAGTACCATACCTCTTTCTTTTTGTGCTTCTTGGCTTCGAAACAAATGGACATGCAGAGTCTCGCACTGCGCGGTATGTCTGGGATGTATAAGTCGTAATCCAGCCATTCGCTCCAGCGCGGGTTCGATGACGTGACGTGTTCGGTGTCCTTTGGAGGACACAATGGCTCCGTGCCGTGGTATATTCCAGTTTTCACAAATATCTACAACAGAGTTATTACATATCATTCAGTTCAATAAAATTTGCCAGTCACAATAGAAAATCTGTACACTCTTTTTGTCTAGGATGGGAGACCATTTAGTAATCAATCTTTAGCATGTGTGTGCCCCAACATGTCAAAAAGAAGTGCACATTAATCTTGGAAAATGTTTTTTTCTAAAATGTGATTTTTTTTTAAAAAACCTAACCATATATTTAATTTATGCATGTTTCAAGAAGCACTTGAATCACCAACCTCTATGTCTGACATTGAAGGGAAATTTTCTCAGTGATATAATTAAAAATCCAACTGAGAAAGACCCTAAGGTAAGTTTATCCTTTTTCTCACCTTGCCCAATTCCTTAACACTGACATTGGTGGCACAGTTAATTTTGATCCTCAACATGGCTTCCACCTGCCACAGTGACATGGTCTGCTGGTTATTGATGTCTTGCAATGCACTTATTCCTAGAGAATATAATTACTAATTAACGTCATCATATAATAAGTTAACCATGCACTAATACCTAGAGAAGATAATAACTAATTAACGTCATCATATACTAAGTTAACCATGCACTTATTCCTAGAGAAGATAATTACTAATTAATGTCATCATATAATAAGTTAACCATCTTATATTTGGGGATTTGCTTTGTGATAAAACTACATATTTACCTCTCTGACATTATCAAAAACATAATTACTACCTTTGGTGACCCTATGTTATTGTTAAGTAATGTCAGTCGTAAATGCATGACAACCTATGTCAGCGGAAAGATTTAACTTGTGCACCAACGAAGTGAAGAACACTGACTAATGAGAGAGAGAGAGAGAGAGAGAGAGAGAAGGGGGGTTACTATAAACATACCTCTTTTCACATATGATGGCACAGTATAAACATTCTTTGGCAGCGAGGCATAGACCCCATCTTTGGACATCAACATCAACTGCGGAATTTGGTTCCTAGCTATGCATTTCCTAATGTGCTGTGAAAAAAAAAAAAAAAAGTCAAACAAGTTATGTGCACCAGCCTCTTCATGAATAGATGTTTAAATTAATGGATAATGGTAAGAGAATCAAAAAAGTTTGCTCAAATATGAAAATGAATTTGAAAGGCTAAAAACAGCATACAAGGAATACAAGGGTTGACTTGTTTGTGTTCTCACCTTGAAAAATTAAATCAACAAGCTTTGAAATTCTTGGAATGAGTGAATTTTCTTATTAGCAGGTCTTGTAAATATAGACCTGCTAATACCTTTTAACACTTTTTTCGTTGATAATTAACACCTAAAGCAATTAGGCGATGTTTTCCAATTCATCAGCACATGTATCTTATATACACATGCCAGATTTAAATAGCATCAGCAATTTACATCTATTAGTCTTTCTGGATATTGTTTCACCATCAAAAAAATCTCCCCTCAAATTTAACTCCACCTATTCCTGTCAATCATTCTGCTAACCACACCTACTCACCTTATACTGACATATAGGAAACTGTTCCAGAAAGAACTGATCGCAGCCACACACTTTGAGCACGTAGTGCCCCTGATATTCCTCCACGCACTTCTTCTGCTCCTCGGGGGACATGTGCATGCTACGCGTCTTCTTGCGAATGGCCTCTGCAATGACCATTTCTGGGAATTCCTTGTACAGGACTTTTACAGTGTACTTTTGTCGCTCACCCGTTGCGGACACGACCCATATACAAATGATTATGTGCTCAGCATCTGAAAATCCATGTATTAAAAGAAATCAATTTGATCATAGTCAAAGCACTTAACAACCGAAGAAATTTCATTGACATATTCTGATAATTCAAGGAAACTGACATTTCATAACACATAAAAAATGGTTATGTGATGTTGGTGTAGATCTCTATCAAGGACAGCAAGTCTGTCAGTGTTTTGGACAATCTAAGCACCTAACAACTCACCTTTGTTAACTCTTCACTAAAACAAGGATGAGACTGCCATTAAGAGAAAAAGTCGGAAAATATGGCTTGGGGTACATGGGGCCTAGACCAATGATATTTTTTGGCTTCCAAAATAATCATTAATTCCCTGTTAGTCGGAAAACTTTCAACCCCGCCTTAAATATTCTGGTTACTCTTTTCAAGAACTTCTGGACATTTCGAGCTCCTCAAAGCTCACCTTTGTCCCGTACTGGCTATTGCATGTACCCTGAAACTCACCTTTGTCAATCTTTTCCTTAAGATGTTCTGGCAACTCTGGATTGCTCACTATATCAGGGGGGTACACATAGATAGCCTGTGTGTGAAGACCTTTGCTGTCTCTCCTCTCCACTGCCTCGTGACACACGTTGAGGACGTTACGACGAAAGGTCATGACCTCCAGGTCTTTACACTCGTTGAATTCGTTGACTGATATTCCTAGGGCAAGACCTGAAAAACGACAAAAGCCAAACTTAAATATCTTTAGAATTTTTATCTACCTTTTTTTTTTTTTTACAATATCAACACCACTTAGAGTAATAATTTTACTGTAAATATACATTTACTTACTCAATACAGAAAACATAATAAAAAAATGTGAGCCAGACAACCACACAATACTAACTAATCTCAGAATTAAGCATCTTCTCTGCTCTGTTTCCCTTGGGCTCCACAAGCTTGAGTATTGGCTGAAAAAGTCGAAGGTCACAAAGCCTCCTTGTCTCATCGTAAAACTCCTCCCTCTCTGCATCCTGGGTAATACTGACAAAGATATATGACGCGGGGTCTGACAACAGGTAAAACAAGGGGTACTTTTTAGCCTCTTTCCAGAGGTCCCCCTTGATGCTCTCCAGTGTGGCATCTCGATTGCAGCGCAGACAGACTATAATCCCCGTTGGTAATAGGCAGTCCACATTGATCTGTGTGGGCATCAGGTGGTGCCCCCATAGTTCTCCTGAACTCGGTGGCATGATGGAGTATAGGGGGTTGGTCAAGCCTGGACCACAGTTGTACCTGGGGAGAAACAGAAGAAAACTGTTTGAACACATTCAGAACAGATGATCTACAGACTAACTGATCTGCTGATTCCTCATATTTGATCATAATATGTTGTAAATTTTGATACTGAGTTTCAGTATCAAACCCAGGACTCTCCTACATAATACAAGTAGTCTACTGACTGATACCCTGAGTTTCAGTATCAAACCCAGGACTCTCCTACATAATACAAGTAGTCTACTGACTGATACCCTGAGTTTCAGTATCAAACCCAGGACTCTCCTACACAATATAAGCAGTCCACTGACTAATACCCTGAGTTTCAGTATCAAACCTGAGACTCTCCTACATAATACAAGCAGTCCACTGACTAATACCCTGAGTTTCAGTATCAAACCCAGGACTCTCCTACATAATACAAGTAGTCTACTGACTGATACCCTGAGTTTTAGTATCAAACCTGAGACTCTCCTACACAATACAAGCAGTCTACTGACTGATACCCTGAGTTTCAGTATCAAACCCGGGGCTCTCCTACATAATACAAGTAGTCTACTGACTGATACCCTGAGTTTCAGTATCAAACCTGAGACTTTCCTACATAATACAAAATGGAGGAGAATGACCCATGTAACTCTGACTCTCAGGGCGAGGTATATTTTACCTGACATTATAGGCAAATGGCATTACTGTCATATATCCCAAGTCAACAGGCGTCCCTTCTTTACTGTGTTGAAAAGAGACTGGCAGAATCAAGTTCTATAGAGAAGCTTAATCTGATACATGTTGCCATGGAAACAGAATTTAAGACTTCATCCTGTTGAACTTTTACCGCAGGTGTTTTATAATCAGCAGTTAGAGAACATTAGCAAGCAAGGTGCTAATAAATTACGAAACCTGTTTACAATATTCAAGGAAAATCACTCATGACAACATCTAATTTGTTTTCAAGATTTACAGATTCAAATATTAAAAAAAGACAATAATCTAACCTTATCGTCTTTTCCGGAAAATACAACCAAAGCCATTTTGTGAAATAGAGACCAATTCTGTTGGGCCCTTATGGGGATTCTTTTGCACTAAGACTACCTTTCAGCCAAATCACTTATTAAATATTTTTCACCAAATGCATAATTTTAACTTGATAATAACCCTTGCCTATTAGCATCTATAAAAATACTTCAATCAACAGAAAAATATGTTATAAACAGGAAATTGCACGTAGATCCCTTGTTCATAATTTGCCATAAGCTCAAAGGGGGCCATCTCCCAAACTGAAAACAATTTTTTATCTAAAATAACTATTAAAAGTGTTGGCTTTTCAACTTGGAGGACAGACTTTTCAATGGTCAGTGCTACAGAATCTCATATGATTCATTTTTTTTTTTTAATTTGCAGTACTTATATTAACTTATGCTCATGAGACAGAGAGAGAAAGAGAGAGAGAAAGAGAGAGAGAAAGTGTGCATGCATGTGAACACTTGTCAGTTATAATCTTACCTCTTTTATCTGATAAAGATGGTACTGTTTTTTCTTGGAGATGTTCGCTGAACAAATTATCCTAGAAGTTAAATGAAATTCCATTTCCAAATCAATAGCACATTATTAATATAAAGCTATTTTGGAAAAAAAAAATTGACACACAGTATTAAGATTTAATGTTAAAACATTCTTGGCTATCAACTTGAAAGGCCACATTGAAAACAACTTGAAAATGCCATGCTTGTCTACCATAGTGAAAATTTTTTTTTTCAAAATCACAATACGTATATACCCAAAGCACAGTCTATTATATAATGACAGCTTCAGAAGATTTGAGCTAGAAAAAAAAGCTTTAGATTTTTTTGTGAAACAAGGGCCAGGTAGCACAGGTACAAAAAAATGTCCCTTGATATGAGAACAAGGTCATACAAATGATTTGGCAAATTTTTAGCTTAATATTTCTTATAATTGGCTACTATATTTATCATTCCTGAAGATCAAAATAATAACGAAAAAAAATTTCATTGACCACATCTACAAATTTTATTACAAAATTCTAATCATTACAAGTTTAAAATATCATGTCAGCTTATTTCGCCCTGGAAGAAGGGTTTTCTCATATGCAGTACCTTAAATTAACCTTCCTGTGTTTTTAAATACATTTTGCAGTATCATTTTCAAGACAGCAAACAGATTATTTTTTATCAAGAGTGGGGGGGGCATTGCCTTAGAGCCACATATAACACTTTCAACACAACAAGGAATCCTCTTACAATATAGACAAAATAAACATAATTTTAACAAAGTCTAATGGATTAAGCTTTTAATACATGTATATAATCAATGAAATATGTGGACCCAATATACTCTCTCAAATGACACCAATAAGCAAATTATATCAAATCAACCAGACGGTAAGTTCTGGCAGGCTTTATCAAATTCCCAATTTTGTTTATTTCAAAAAGCACAATTTTCATGAATGTCCAGAGGCTTGACACCTGTGCTGGGCTAGGCTACACTGTCCCATTTTTATGTTCGTACTTCTTACAAGATGTCTACATAAAATCAGGAAATAAACCATCCTGTGCTAAACCCTCAGGTTGGGTTTTACAAATAAGACGCCAGGCCATTGAGCTGGCATTTTTAGATAGACCTCAAGTGGTAGACTATATGGTAGGCTAGTATGGTATTCTAAAGTCTTTTTATGTGGTCCTTAGGTTATTGACAATCAAAGAGACAACAGGACGTAGAGTCGAGATGACAAATTTTCCCTGGTAATCATTTTGCAGGGAAAAAATAGGATTGATTTTAACTCTACAGGGCACTTGTCTATCAAATAAAACAGAGCACCAATGTTGCATTTCAGGTATGTGTGACAAATATATAAATTTCATTTTCCCAGTAATTAATTCAAATCTATTTTTACAATATAAATCCAAGCAAAATGATACATGTATCACTTTCACTCAGTTAAATATGAAAATATGGTTTATTTTCAAGTATTTCATTATTCATTACTGCTTCTTAAATACAAACAGGTATGCAGCAGATTATCATGAATGTGTACTCACCTCTAGAAAATTGCTTGTTCCATTTCATTATCAACTTATCAAAATAAGGTAAAATAAATACAACAGGGTAATTTTTTTGTAACAGCTACCTCCATTTTGGCTTCGCAGTGAATCTATTTCTCATTGCTGATTCGCTAAAAATGTAGACGTAAGGCATACATTATATATTTCTTTAAATATTATCCTCATGTGACGTTTTTATTTGCAAAACATAATTTTACAGGATATAGAAATATTAATAAAACGCCATAATTCCCTAATACGTAAAAAAGTAATTTAACCTACTTCTTGGCCAATGAAATCTCGCTCATTTTTGATCATTCAGAAATGCCCTCGATACGCCGTGTGTGCCCGTGACACTAAGTATGTCTGCTCGATTTTGTACTGTTTTCATCTCAAAACAAGGGATTTACTGGCATTTTTAGACAGGATATGGACCTGGGTCATCAAGGTAAAGTAACCTTTATTGACAATCTATTGACTGTTGTCTTTTATTCTATACATCACGTTTTCAGTGTTTGTATTTTTCCGTGTCGGGAAGCACGTCTATGCTTTGGCCGTGTACTCTATTTTTAGCTCCTCGCGCTCTAGATTGCGGCGGCGCTTTGATCATTGCTTGATTGGTTTGTTTTCAGTTTTTGTTTTCTTTTTAAATCAGACTAGTTAAGGATACAGTCTAATTTTTTTACAGTAACAGCAATCACAGCAAAAAAACCTTGTGGGGTCATCAAAAATAGTTGCCAGTGGTCTGTGTTCTTTCTTTTACTAAAATGCATTAAAGTAATTTGATATCGCCTCCATATATTCGTATTAGAAATATTGTATCAAAGTCTGAGTGGCATTTGATGATTCAGCTTCGCTTCAGAAAGAAATTTTGATCAATGAAATTGCAGGGGAATTTTCTTACCATTAAATACTAGTAGTTGTATCCTATTTGATGTAGATCTATATTGCTAAATCTCAACTTTGCTATTAACAGATAAAATTAACTTATTAAAATTTGATCTCTTTATAGACGAGAGCTAGATTCAGATTTAAGTTGAAGTTGAATGTTGAAAATGACAAAATCATGTGGAAAATTCCCCTTTTACTTTGTGACATAAAAAATGTTGATGTCAGCTCTGTCTGAAGCTGGTTTAAAATCAATATCCAAGATTAACAGACCTGAGTATTAAAAGTGGAAGAAGCCTCTGAGGTATCTATATAGCTTTATACTGGTAACGCTGATACGTATTTTATTGTAAAGTGTCAGTCCAAAATTTCTTTTCTGTTTGACATAAATTAATAAAACATAATTTTGGGTTAAATCAACAATACTGCTCACAGTTTATATTGTAAGATTATATATAGCTAGTATGTATGTAAAAAAAGTGTTTTTCTGTTTACCTGTATGTTTTTTAGTTAACTTATTGTGGCTGACAATATTAATGTCATAGTAAAAAAATTGAATGTACTGTTCACCTATACTAACAATGCTTACGTAAGAAAAAGAATGAGGGAAGTTATTTTTAATCTCTTTTGTTATGTTAATGAAAAAAAAACATGAAAAAATTAACTCTTCCTTCAAGTTACAAGAATTTGGACAAAGAAAAATGTGCGTAGCTGCCCTTGGTTGTCAATTTTAAATATGATTAATGATTTTTTTCAACACAACCCTCTTGATTCAGGTGGTAACCCACAACCCTGTATTCCGCTTTGACCTTGATGTATGATAATCAGGGACATCAACTTCGACTTGTTATGATGGTAGATATTAAATAGGTCATTTCAGGTCATTGTGTGACCTCATTATAATTGCTGCGCTAGGTCAACATTTAAGAAGGCCGCGATAATGCTGATAAAATTGTAGCAACTATTGGGGTGGATTGCTGATAATTGTTGTGGAATAACGGAGTTGCCAAGTACCCATGTTTGTGCTTATTTTCCCTGTTAAATGAATTGTAAAATAAGAAAGACCAATTGTATGCATTCTTTCAAATGAAAGATGGAGAGATTATTACTTAAGCCCATATTGTACTGTTGCATAATTTTTTTCAAGCTGAATTGATATCTAGAATTAGGATTTTGTACTTTTCTGACACTGAATCTGGCTTTGGCCTCTCACTATTATAATCTTTAGTTATCACTTCTTTTTTATTTCTTCTTCTGGAAACATACGTGTATATTGGAAGGTATATTTTAAAGCAGATAAACTGAACTTGTTCAGTACATATTATGTCATATTCTTTGTTCCTTTTTTTTCTTTTTCATATAAAGCAAAATGTTAGTATATTTATTATTTATCAGGTCTGAAATAGGAAAGATAAGCAGCTTTGAAGGATTTTTTTAAACATATAAATATGGCTGTGGGACATTTTCAAACATGGATATTATACCCTAAATCAATTTAGAGGTATTAGAAATGTTATAAGAACCATTTCTTGTACATGTACAGTAACAATGGCAAAGACAATGGTTGTTCTTGAGAGTAAGGCTGTATTCCCAGAGCTTTTAGATCGATCTATCCCTGCGGGAGTCTCACTAGATCACTGTCAGATAATCCGGCTTAAATGTCCGTCCCGCCTACTTCAAGCTGTAAGGGGGAAATTAACTTTCGTGTCCGCTCGGCTGACAGCTATTTAGCGTGAACCCCCAGGGGGTTAGGTTGATCTAAAGTAGATCGATCTAATCTCTGGAAATGGGGTCTTAGAGCGCATTAAGGGCAGCAGACTAATAAATTAGCATATCAAATATGGCGACATACTAAAAAGCTTGCCGTTTAATTCCCAAATAGACAACAAATAGATTCACCACAGGAATTACACATCAAGCATTCAAGTGAGTCAGACATATTTGATCCACCGATCTGTTACACCCCATTTCCATAGATTAGATCGACCTACTTTAGATTGACCTAACTCCCTGGGGGTTCACGCTAAATAGCTGTCAGCCGGGCGGACACGAAAGTTAAATACCCCCTTATAGCTTGTAATGGGTGGGACAGACATTTAAGTCAGATTATCTGAAAGTAATCTAGTGAGACTCCCCGCGGGGATAGATCCATCTAAAATCTATGGGAATAGAGCCTTACTCCGCTGTTCTGAATACGCTCTAATGAAATTCTGAGAGAATAGGTGTTTGTACATACCTATCATTCTCCTAAATAGGACAGAGTGCCATTAATTAATTTAATTCTCTTAGCTTGCCAAAAACTTCGAATCATATAAAACATGACAGGTCCCTGAAATGGTGATATGTGCAAAGTATTTTCTTCCTTGTTAATGTTTCCCCCTCCTATCTGTTTTGCACATCTCTTTATGTTCTATGTAAAAGAGAAAAAGAAGGTAGCCTAATTTACCTTGATGAATATTATATTTGTAATCATAATTAATACACATTGTTATTATTATTATTATTATTATTATTATTATTATTATTATTATTTTATAGCAATAAAAACAAGAGAAGAACCGTTGAAATAGAAAAATGAGACATTAAAAGAAAAAGATAAAAAATAATATCAAAGCATTTTTAGAAAGGAAAAAGGAACTACAGTACAATCCACACATCGAGAAAAATACCTCAGAACATTCTCTATTATGCTCATAGAATTTTAATGAACATTGAACTAAACAAGGATCCTGTTCTCAGAGGTACTAGTACAGATGTCAGTTCTCTTCTCCCTTCTGCCAGAGGAGCCATCAAATCACCTCCAGGCTTGATTGATCTCAATTGGTCAGTTGAAGACCAGTGTGTAGGTTTTGTTTTCACAATTAACCATGAAGTCCAGATGGTCAGCCTATGTCCACTGTACATATATCCATTTGAGTACACATGCTGGAAGGCAGATCTGATTGATTGAGCTACTGGTGCATGTAGATTTTGTTAACTGTAACTGCCAGGGCATCTTTGGGTGTGTTCACTGTGAAACTCGATCAGTTTTCGTTCCAGGTAGTTCGAACTTACTCTGCTTGGACTCGCTGAATGCAATCAGCTTGAAAGATTAGCATATTCAAAAGATGCACATGCCACGTCTTGTTTTGGTAATTTATGACGTTCAGTTAAGGACTTTTTGAAACACTTATAGTATACCTTTAACTGCAATTTACCACTTTTATGTAATTATTATTATTATTATTATTATTATTATTATTATTATTATTATATATGTACATCTTTACTGTTGTATATTGTTGTCAGGTGTAATACTGGTAGTTAAATAATGTGTTAAAATGACAACAGACAGTATTTTACATGGTAAATATATTATGGAGAAAACCTTTATTTAGAAGTTAAAGTCTGTAACTTCTGTATGTGGTGTTGCAGTCTTTTGCATTGCTGTTTCATTGATTTAGAAATTTATTAGCATGCACACAAGTTTATACCTCATGCATCCACTGATGATCCACGCTCTCTTGCAAAGCAACAAACATCTCCTTTTACTGGAATTTCGCCCATGGCTGAATTAATAACCATGTATTTTTACTTTGACCTTCTAAATCTACATCATCCTGCTAATGGCTGTAGGAGATCTCTGCCTCTCTCTGCAAACATGGGGTTGTTATTCCTATTTTCGAAGGCGTAATCAACAGGATTAAGTTGTTGAGAGGGCCTGCTCCCCGCAGTGGGAGACTTACTATCTGCTCTAGAAGTGTAATATTTCCAGGTGAAGTGGGAGTATAATGGAGACTGTGTTTAGTGTTTAGATTGAAGGTATGAGGCTGTTGACTCCTGAAAATGGGTGCAAGGTGTTGTTAAAGACTTACTAGTAAGGGACTAGAAATGGTTTTCTGTGGCTGGAAGGAGAAATTCCTTTTTTTTTCTAATTTTCTATCACCCCCCTCCCCCCCTCCCTGCCTTTATCTCTCTTGATCTCTCTCCCAGTACTTTGTACGCTACTGATTTAGCTCAGAAATTGAATTGTCTAAAGTATTTATCGTATTTAAAAAGAAAACATTTTACTATTTTTACCCCTTCGATGTATTTTTTGGCAGTGTGCCATTGGTTTACTTCCAAAATTGAATTATGTCAAAGATTAAAACATAACAAATACCGGTAAGTATGCATGTACCAGAATTGTTGTGTCACATTGTTTTAAATCGGTTGCTCTACCTCATGCATAGACCATGTCATTCTCTGTCAGAGTGTGGGTTCTTTTTTAGTCAAATATTTAAGAAATTGTAATTGAATCAAAACAGTTTTATATTAAGGAAATTATTTAATAGGGATTATCAGTTTTGGTCATGCTTTTCTTTTTTTCTTTTATAATAAAGTTCACATGAATATGCTACTAATTATGCCGGATTGTTGCCTCAGATTTGCCCCACATCTATGAAGGTAGAAAGAGCAAAATTCTTTGACTCCCTTTTTCCTAGCCAAATTTCAGTGTTTGCTGGGAGACGTCGTCGTGCCTGGGATTAAGCTGCTTTCATGGGTTTTAACATATATTACATGTGGGTACACAGCATTCAGTGATTTATCAGATGGTGTTTTGCTTGCTAATTAGGGATTCTAGCTGTGACGTAAATGTACAAAGTAACATATGGAATTTAAGTCCATGCAATACTATTCAAAGTGTGTGGATGGAGTGTTTGGAATAACAAGTGAAGCTATGCCCTTGTTATATATAAGTAGTAGATTATGAATGTGTTAAATGATTATTCAGTGATCAAATTATCGTTTTTTTTTTATAAAATTTTATGTATTTCCTCGGTAAAACTAAATTTCACTGTATTGCAGCAGATAAAACTCTTTATTGAATGATGTCACTGAATTACATTAATTGGGCTATATTATCTGTGATGAAATTAATTTGCCCCTCCACCCCCTTACCCTCCTCCCCCTCCCTCCCTCCTCCCATAAGCACCATATCCTTTTTCTTTTGGTGTCATAGTTGATGCAAAGGAAATCGTCATAAAACAAGAATAATTTGCACATAACCTTCCAAAAGTATGGAATTTTAAAATAAGTTAGGTTAATCGGCTTTGTGATAGGCATTGTTTGTGAGGTAGACAGAAATGTACTGTAATTGATTTTGGACCAAGTTTTCCAAGGATTAACCGAGTAGAAATCATTATATGGAAATCATTGGGTATTGCATTTGTTTCTTTCATTAGAGAAGTCAGTTTTGCCCTACTTTATGGCATGTTTTTGTGAAGTTGAGATATGAGAAACTCACCACAGAAATGTGTCTTTTAAAACATGAATTTATCTTGATAGTCCAATATATGTCTACCCAGGTAAACATAAGAAAAAATTGATTTATATCTTTTTTCTGTCTTATATCACAAAGTTCGTTTGTGTTTTATTTTGATATATACTTTGATGTTTTTATAAGTGAAAATATTCACCTCAGCATTGGAAAAATTTTTGTAACAAGTTTTTTTTCTATTGCCATTTGAATAATTGAGCAGAAAGTATTAAATGAGATATAGTTCTTAAAGATACTCTGTCTTCTCAAATTTTTGAGCCCTTTTGATGAAGGTGCATTAGTTTGGATGGATTTTGTCTACAAGAATACCAAAAGGATACATGCAATGTAGGAACATTCAGATATCTTTCCCATACACAACATCAAAACTAAAGTTTTACTGCAGTAAGTTAAAGTAAATCATGAAAACCACCCCCCTTTATCTGGAATTATTGAACCAAAATTTGATTCGTAATTGCGGACTCAAAAAATATTCATCGTGCCAGATGAAATCAATTTCAGTGTATTGGTTCATAGGTTGTATGAGTACATTCAGTTCTTTTATGTTAAAGATGAAAAATTATGAATGAGCTTACTGTGGGAACCTCAGTATTTTTCAAATCATTCACTCCCATTAAGGTTTACTATTGAACACTTTAATACGTCAGCCATATACTAGATAAATAGATCTCAAAGAAAGTTATATAGCAGTGATTGTAAACTGTGAGGACTGCTTTTTAAAAAGCGCCTCCATAAATTTCTTTGGGAATGGTTTACATAGGAAACTACAGGTACATAAGCCATTCACGGGGTTGTTTGTACATTAGTCCTAGTGAGTAGAGCGAGTCAACAAAGAGTGAATTAAATGTCTTCTACGATCAATGAAGTGGTGTTCATTGGGTATAGGAAATTTCCTTTTAAAAATTAGGTCAAGGTTTTTGCTTACGTCAGAGTAGAGCATTGTACATGCAGGTGATTTTTTTGTTATTTCGTTTTTTATGTAGATCATGTTTCAACATTTTACATATTTAGATTTTTTTTTTTGTTTTTTTTTTTTTTTTTTTTTTTTTGTTTTTTTTTTTTTTGAGATTGCATGAGTTTTAAGAAATAAAAGTGTTAATTGAAATAGGACAGAAGGTGTTGTTTTTTTCCCAGTTTATCTGAGTTAACTGGTCCAGAATAGTTGTTATCCTGTATTGTAAAAAGAGAGGGTTGTAATAACAGAAAATGAGAATGATATAAACAGCAGCTGTTAAAACTGGATGAAAACATGCTGAAATGTACTATATCATATTTTTTTCTACATTTTTATTATTATTATTATTTATTTTTTTAGTTGGTTGGGGGAGCATTTTTGTTCTCAGCTCATTAAAAAATGTTTTTCAAGTAGCTCATGATGCTTAACTTACAAACTTTTCACTTCCAGTCCACATTTCAAGTTCATACTTAATTCAAAGTTGGTTTGACTCCATATCATTCATTTTGTAACATGAGCATCAGGTGAATCTGTTAAAAACGCACAGATCTTATAAATAATTCAATAGAGTGAACCAGTATGACAAATGCTATATTAAGCTTTATAGTTGTGTTTATGTATTTTGATCTTAGATATTATATATGGAATTCAACTTATTATTTTGGATGCTGTACATTTTTTTTCTTGTTTATAGTACATACCCTCATAGCTATCATTTCTTTTATAATCAGACAAATTTCACCTGAACTAACCCCATTTTTGTAAACATACCCCTCCAGATCATCAAATGTAGGGCTATGTAGGGCAGCAGTATATGTTTGTTGCATTGTGGGGTAAACAATGTATAATCAAAAGGTGAACCAGCTAAATCCAGTTTTTGCAAGTTCTTGGAGTTAGGTAGATATATGTAATGGTCAATTAGTAGTTTTATTCCGGAAAAATCCAGTTCCGACTGCCAGCTGCCAAAAGCGGGTCCCCCTAAAATAGGTATTTTTGTTACGTAACATCACCCTGGTCAGGACGCCAATTATGTCATTAAAATGTGGGGTGCACTCTTTGTATGTGCCTGGCGTACTTTGGAAATTAGGAGATACAGTTGAATGATATTAGCTAATTTGATTTGTTCTTATCTAGTAGATAAACAATAAATGGGCCAGGCTTGCCCTTATAAGTGCTTGGTCGAATACAAATATGTATATATGGAATATTTGTATAGAATTAATCAGGCCCGTAGCCAGCAATTTCAAAAGGGGGGTTCTTTTTCTGAAAAAGTGGACCTTTTTCCATAAAAACGTCATGTACCTAGATCAAATTTTACCCAGAGTGGACCTTTTCCCAGCAAAAGGGGTGGTTCTTTCTAACCCCCGAACCCCCCCTGGCTACAGGCCTGATTAATGCATACAAAAGTGATGGTTTTCAATAATGTATCAATTTTTAATGGTGATGAATGGAAGGTTATATTTCAACCTGCATATTTGAATGACAGACTGTTCCTGAGCCTTCAGATACATGTTCTTGCTGTGGTGATCTTTTCAGGAGTAGCTTTGGTCTTTATCTTTCATATGTTGACAGGTAAATTTGATTGTGAAATCCAAATGAAAAATCACTTGAAAACCATAGAATGTCAATAATTTGAGCCCCTGAAGTTTTAGTTATCTTTGATTTTATTCATTAGTTACCTAATGATTTGTCAGTAAGAATAGAAAAGCAAAAATGTTTTAATAGAAAAGAAAAAATATTTTTATTTATTAACTTATTTAATAGTAATGACAAATCAGAAGAAACTTTCACAATTTTCTGTTAATTTCTCCAAGTCTCAGCTACCGATTTAAGGAAGGGGAGGGGGGCAGGTTTTTTTTTTTTTAAGAGATATGGGCAGGTGTGACCTGTTGAGGCTATTTGTTTACATGCACAGGTGATGCAACGTGACTATTCTTCCACTGAGGGACTGTTGACATTCTTATTAGTTCTACCAGCACATGTGCGTGTGCTCATACTCTCATAGTGGCTGGATAGTTCCGGTTCAGTTCAGTCCCCTAGATCCAGTCCCACAGTGACTCCTATAGCCTTGTACTAAACAACAGTTGATGTAGTACATGTGGGATTACACTGCAAAGCTTTTTAAAGCCACAGTGCTCTCTATCATACTAGTTGTCAGTACTTGTAGAAAGGGTGTTTTGGAATATAAGAACCGTGATGTATAATACAGATTCACAAAGGAATGAGCATATGCCAGGGCATGTCCTTAATGGAATTGATAATAGTCTTGTAGGAAATGTAGGAAATGTAAACAGTGGCGTGATAGGACTCAACAAAAACCATGATGCTGGAAGTGGTTCTTTGATTTCATTTGAGGTGAATCGAAACTGTTACTCCCCTCTACAAAGCAATGGAGATTGTGAATTAAGAAAAGCTATTGCAAACTATATAGATCATCTGGATAGGGAAAGAAACAGAAATGATTATTGCTGGCCTACAAGGATGAATAACTTTGAGTTTGTTAATCAAGGAAAGTATTCTTCTTACATGGGACCTGGAGTGGCATTTTCTCCCGGGGTCTGTGGTGATCAGACTGTCAGCCTGAGACAAGCCTACAGTGGTCCTGATGTTGGAGAACATGGGGGTGTGTGTTTGTTAGGAAATACATCATAGAGATAAGATTGCTGAGGGAAAATATTAGAGAGATTAGATTTCTGTCTTAGAATGAGGTCATGGTGGGTTTTTATGAAGAGATGAGCCAAAAAAAAGTTGTGAGGAAAAGTGTTCTTTGTGTGTAGGGACTATCATATTTTTTTTTTCTTTTTTATCAAGGAATTGTTTAAATGCTGAATTCATAAAACAATTGTTATTACTCCATTTATAAAATGCTGTAATGCCCTATCTAAATTAATAAAACATAGAAAAAATTAAAATTTATATTTTAATTGATTTGTTAGATTTAATATTTATGTATAAGTAGCATCCCTGTCTAAGGGCTCTTTCCCAGTGAAACATTTGTTCCACTTGATTGATTGATTTAACTCCAAGGGGACTCTTGCTGAATGCAATCAGATTAGCATATTTAGTTAATACACCTCCTGTCCCTTTCCAACTTATATAATCACCAGCTTTTCTGTATTCTACTCAATGCCAGGAGGAGGCATGTTAATCTGATTGCATTTAGCGAGTCCTAATGATGTTGGATCGATCTACATATGTAGAAGTTGAATGATCATTTCATTGGGAATCAGCCCTAAAAGTAGGCCTCATCATGACAGGGGTTTTGCTTCAAATTTTTATTTTTGCAGATTGCATGTCACCTTATTATATAATTTATATATATTTTTGTCAATCAGTTACTTGATAAAAACTAGTGTGTGCATATTATAATTATTCATGCTATCTTTGTTGCACTTGTCCTGTCTTTTCTTTTATATTATTGTGTATATTTGGAGATTGTATATGGGACTTTGACATGAAAAGATACTATTACTGAAATACCTAGGGACCTTGAAAAAATGTTTTCTTGCACTTAATGACCATTTCTCTGGTCACTTCCAACTGCAGAAATACCTTGTGTATTTTTTAAGACTTATGTTTCTTGTCACGAGTCTAGAGAATGCCTGTATATGAATAATAAATGTATTTTTGCATAGCGTAGAAGTGCAACTTTGAGCAGGGGTCGAAAGTTTATTTCACAAAAAGGATACAAGATGCATTTGATCACGAGGGTCCCTTCAAGGAAAAATAGTGAAAATTTAAGACACTATAAATTCTTTGTATAGTTTTTTAAGACAATATGATGTACAAAATTTAATGACGACTGATATCTATATATTTCAGGATATCACCCACCATTACAACCAAATCAGCATCACCCGAGACAGCCCTTCCACCACGGTACCAACTTTCCACCACCCCCACCTCCACCCCCTGGGGTTCAGCAGATCACCCCTCTGAATTCACAGTCAGCCCCAGGAGGAGATTTTCTTGGCAACAGACCCAGCATTGCCTTTGGAAGACCGAACCTCAATCAGCAAAATTTTTCATCTTGTCATGGGCATTCTGGGACAGCTTTTACAGACAATAGGGGGAGCCACTTGCAGCCTGCCAGTGCTGGTAACAATGGTGGGAGTGGACGGAATAATAATTCAGATAAAAAAGCAAAACTGAACTTAAGTTGGGATAAAGTTGTGCCTAAGCAGGCAGCGAAAAGAAAATGTTCGGACTGCGAGAATGTTAATATGACTCTAAGCATGGATGAACAGCAGAGGGAGGATGCGTCCAGCATGGAGAACATCGTCAAAGGATTAACGCAACCTCTTTTCTGTAAAGTGTGTTCCGTGAACCTGAATGCGCCGTCCCAAGCCAAGCAGCATTACCTGGGTAAAAATCATGCGAAAAAGTTACGCATGTGGTTAAAGACTCAAGAGGACGCTGGCAAAAGCAATTTGAGCAAGAACGTTGGTACTATGGTAACTACGATATCATCCCTTTCGGACTCGGACAGCACTAATGACAGTACAGATCCTGGATCTGAGTGTTCTAGACAGGTGTGTGTGGTAATAAACTCTGTTATCAAGAGTTACTAATTACCTTTTTTTTCATTAAAAAAAAAATTAAATGCAATCTGCTTTTTTTCTTTTCTCCCTGTTCCCATACCTAGATCGATCTAGCTGAAATGACCCATTTCTGAGAGGTTTCTCGCTTAATTGCATTCAGCTTAAGCAGCTCTGATGTCTAGCATGCCCACTGAAGCTGTTAGAGGGTAATTAACTATTGTTAAGCATTTTAACTTCACTCCAAAAATGTTTGAGCAACCTTAAATATATTTTATAGCTAAATTTGTAAATCCTGGAAAGAAAAATACCTCACACCATGAATGTATTTCAAGGTACAACAGAAATGAGAACCAGCATAGATCTATTTTTCCACTTTTTTCCAAGTTCCGAGTTATTTCATTATTGATGACTAATAGTCAGCAGAGGATGACACAAACATGGTAATAATTCACAAGTTTCAAGCACCTTTTATCTCAATATTTTATTTTTTTTATCATCACTTGAGGTGCCAAAAAGTTGGAAGAGATTTTTTTCCTTCTTCTTCTTCTTCTGACTCTCTCCAAATGGGCAATTTCCTTGTATGTTTTTGTAGGTCTGAACCCTATGCTGGATCTTATGCTAATTTAAATGTATCATTATTGATTATTAATATCATTCACTCACACAAAAGCACCTTCCAGACCTAATGCATGTAAGTCTTCAATATTTTTCCAGCCTCTACAAGCAACACATAGTTTTTGGAAATAGGATAACTTAATTTTGCTCTATTACCTTACATCAGTTATGGAGAGACATGAAAATAATAGAAAAGTGAAGCTTAATATTAGGATAATGATTTTTCTAGGAAAAGGGTTTTAAAAATGTTGTATTGATAAATAGCTCTCAATAAAGTATGAGAATACTTTTATTTCGTTGTAATGAAGTATGAAAATACTTGTATTTCATTGCAATGTATATTTACTTTTTTTTTTTTTACTCTTATTTATAAGACAACATAACTGGTGTGACATTATTAATAAGAATTGTAGTGTACCTGACTTTAATGATTTAGACTTGTCTTGCAATTTTCAATTTCTGTGATGTGCAGAAGAAGACAAGAAACACATACAGTTCAACTTTTGAAATGAAAAACGCCCTTTGTTGATAGTTTTCACAGAATTTATACTCAAACAAACATGATAAGATCAAATTAGAAATTTAAAGAGATAAAAACCATGATATATTAAGTTATATGCACTTGCTTGCGACCTCATTTCAGTAATCCCTGTTATAGCAATTAAAGTTGCCATTAAAGTAATTAAGAGTTCCCCACAAGAAATAAACCAATTTATGTTAAATTAGTTGCAAGGCATTTTAGCAAAATTAAAAATGAATCACATGGATTTAGAAATTTTGAATTTAATTAAAATTTAAAATTAACTCACTGGGAACTAAAATGAAAAACTTGGATATGAATTAGAGAATAGGTAATTAAGGAAATAAAGCTAGTAGTATTTAATTTTCATTGACATATGAGCATGATATACTAGTGCATTCACCCAGCTTAATGCATTTCCGTGGAAAAAAAAATTTTTTATAAAGAAGTGGAATTTTCCTATTAGTCCTAGTGTGTAGGCAGTTTACAAATTGAAGAAATGTCTTCTATTGATTTTCAAAGCTAGCTGTACTCATGCTTTAGACTTTTTTGCTGCTGTTATGTTTTTGTGAACCAAATGAACAGGGCATGTAGACAGCTTTTAAATTTGCTGCCTGGGACCATTATCAACCACTTTAGATACACAGCTGGTATGGAAAATAATGCAGAGCAAGTATAGTTAATTGAAACTACTACAGAATCATTTAGTATGCTCTCTCTCTTCTCTCTCTCTCTCTCTCTCTCTCTCTCACACACACACACACACACACACACACACACACACACACACACACACACACACACAGCAAATCAGTCTGAAAAACAAATTACCACATATTAACTGGATAATTTTAGTTGAATTTAAATTAATACTTAAGTAACAATACATTTTGCTAAAACCAGTAAAACATTGCACTTTTTCCAAACCTGAATTAAATTATGGGATGTACACTGTTTGCTAAAATTAAACTATACTAGTGCGGGGCCAGATAGAGAGATCACACCAGGCCCCTGTGGGCATCAATAATCCCACTACTTGCTTAACAGACAATTGGATTATGACCCCATTTCCACAGACAACATCGGTCTATGCGGATCAACCCAACTCTGCGGGGACTCTCGCTGAGTGCAATCAGCTTAAATGAAAGACAGGACTCCTCTTGTTCCCAACGTACTCGGATAATCACCAGCTTTTGTGAATTCTACTTAACACCAGGCGGTGGTGCGTTATTCTGTTAAACTGATTGCAATCAGAGAGATTCCCTGCGGAGTTGGGTCGATCCACGTAGACCGATGGTGTCTATGGGAATTTGCCCTTTGGCAATGTTGTAGAGATGATTTGATTATTCAAGTGAACAGATAAACCCTGTGATGTATACACACTGAATAGCAACCTGATAACCTGCTGGTATCTGTGTGTTGTTTTGCTGAAAGATCATCCTGTGATATGAAAAAAAAAAGAAAGAAAAAAGGGAGGGGCAGTTTTTTAAATGCTCTGTCCACAAGCACTGTTATTTATTTATTTGGATGAAATTAGTTGTTTGTTTTCCTTTAAGATTTTTCATTATGTTCAGTTGCTGTTAGTCGATTGAAAAATGTTTAGTCCAAGCAATAGCTATTGTATTAAAATATATACGTTATGTTATTTTGTCCAATTAAGCAAATTTGTTCTTATCATGCTCCTTGTAAATCATTTTAGACACATTTTTTAGAAATTAATTGTACCGTAAAATATTTCAAAAAAAAAAAGGAAAAAGAAACTCAAAATCTTTTCCATGTCCTAAACAACATCAGACAATTGCAGAAAATGGAAATAAAAAATCAACTGCAATTAAAACCATGGCATTTTCAATGTCAGATACATATAGGTAGTTTGTGCATTACATTACATGGTCTTTAAGAAAAAATCAATTTTTTTTCAATTTTCAGTCATCGTCATCGTCATCGTCCTCGTCTGTATCATTAACAACAGCAGCTTCAGCATTAACAGTGTCCTCGGCATCTGCACCACAGTCAACCCAGGAACTTAATCCTGACATTTATTGTAAGATTTGTGAGGTTTCCTTCAACTCCCCCAAGCAAGCAGAGCAGCATTACCAGGGGAAGATGCACGGGAAACGACTGAAAGCGTCTCACGTTGCAACAAATCCTGTCACTAATGAGAGTGCTGGGAATGTTAAGTAAGTAAATGTTTGTTTTTTAAGAATTTTAAAAGTGGAATTTTTTTGTTTCCTCTTTGTGCCCTTTTCAAGTCCCTGTGTTTGTTTGAGAGAGAACAAGCTAGTGTGTGTATCTGTGTGTGTGTGTATGTGTGTGTGTGTGTGTGTGTGAGAGAGAGAGAGAGAGAGAGAGTGAGTGTACATGAGCATGTACTGGTATACACCTCTAAACATCTAACTGTGAAAATACTCACCAACATAAAAGCTTGCATAAGAAGATGATACATGCACAGTTTTCTGAAAAAAAAAATCATAATTAAAAGATTTTAATTAAATCTGTTTCCCAAACATATTTGTTAACAGTTGACAAATCCATTCGTTTCCTAAATAGCTTTTCCCTTTGGTTGAGGTTCCGAAAAATAATTACTACTGCTCTAAATAATTCAGTGTTATTTTGTCTGATGACTGGCACGGGAGAGCTTTCCTGAGAAACCTGTACCTCAGGATAATACTCTATAAGTGCTTTTCCTGCTCATTATTGGTGTTTTTGCAGGAGGAAAGAGCAGGCTCTTCTAATCACCTGACTTATTATATGGAAAGTTTGCTCATTGGAATCATTTTATTGAAGATCATGTAAGGTTGTTTTTTTTTCATACTTTTTCTCATAAACACCCAACTAGAAAGATAGAATATTATATTTTAAAAAGTATACATTTCTCTGTTAAAAATTTACACACACACACACACACACACACACACACACACACACTATTAATAAAAGAAACAACACAGTCAGAAAAAGGTGATGGTTTTCATGCAACAAAGTTTTGTATTTGATGGAAAAGATAATAATAAATGAACAAATAAGAGGCTCTTGCAAAGGTCAAAAAGTCAGACATCCAGGTAAGCTCCTGCCTTTATGTGGTTAATCAAGATTGGGCAACTTCTTTTCCTGCTTGTAAAAGTGTATGTACACAGCTGTATGTCAGAAGGGCTCCGGATCAGCAGCTAGAAGCTAGAATATGTTAGAGGGCATTCCCAGAGATTTAGATCGATCTTACTAGATTGACCCAACTCCCTGGGGGTTCATGCTAAATTGCAGTCAGCCGACCGCGCATAGAAGTTAAATTACCCCCTTACAGCTTGTAGTAGGCGGGACAGACATTTAAGCTGGGTTCTTTGACAGTAATCTAGTGAGACTCCCCACGGGATAGATCGATCTGAAATCTATGGGAATGTGCCCTTAGTGATTCCTGCTTTGGTGAAATACCAGGGAAGACCCTTGTATCACAAGCGGAGGCTCTGGAGGTGCTTTTGTTTTGGCCCGTGACCACAGAAGCCACTGCAAGCTGCCGGAAACATAACCTTATAACTGCCTTGGTTTTGATCATGGACTTCATCTACCTGGGAAAAAGGCCTTGTTGCCTTTCTACTATGATCTCAACTACATGTACATAGGCCTATATATGCATTTTTGTTATGGTGTTTGTGTAATTATTGCTGGCCTTGTTGATTTGATTATTTATTGGGAGTTGCTTTCATATAAGTTTTTAAAGGTATAACAATATCTTTATAGAGTACTTTATAGAGTAACATCTGAACACAAGATGGAGAATTGCTAAAGCAGCCAAGAAACCAGCCAAACTAGTGTCTGGAAGCAAAAAAAACTATTGAATTATGTGACTATAACTAAATATAACTGATTTACATGAATAAAGATAAAGTGCCATGCAGCTGCATACGCATGCACCAGGAACGGAAATCATTGTTAGTATAGAACGTGCAAAAATGAAATACGTGGTAACTTTTTTCCTCCTTTTTTAAACCATAAAACAGAGAGAATTGTGGTAAAAATTAAGACGTATGTTGCACATTGATTTCTAATAATCGCCATATTCATAATAAAATACCAAAATAATCTGACAAGGTGATTACACAGGGGCTGATTATCTCATAACACCAGGGTTGCCAACATAGTGACATGGATCTCGTACATTTTTCATTATCAGTTACCACTGTTTTTAGCACTTATCCCATCGTAAATAACATATCATATAACGAGAGTTCTGGTAGCTCATTGTGAGGGAAGTGTAATTGGAGTCCAGGGCCCTGTTTCAGAAAAGTGCTATACGGTATAGCTCGAAAATTGGTCTAAGCATTTGGACCAGTGATGTCTACTGCAGTTCAAGATAAATACAGAGAAAGTGCACATAAAGGGATAACAAATCTTCGTATGAGATTTGAAATTCCACAATAAATACATTGTAAACAACATATAGAAATATAATAAATTTCATTTTGCTGCCACAGTCATTCTGAAACCTGTGCTTGTCATTGGACCACATGTACCCTCATAGATGGCTACCTTCCATAATAATCTCTTAAGATATTATTACAAAAAAAATGTTTAATAAAAACTAAAAAAAACAATTGACTTACTTTGGATGACAAGACTGATATATGAACCATTAGTAAGTATGGGAACATTGTTGTTAACCCCCCAAAAATCTGTTTTATGGCACTTTTTTTGGGTGAAATTAAGAGTTGTTATCCAATTATGTATTGTCTGAGGCATAAGCAGGTTTTGACTAAGGTTTTTACTCTAAATGCTCATAGTTCTTGTAGCTCAATTAGGTACAGCAGATAATATATTTTATATCGCCGAACTTTCTTTATTAACCCTCAAAGCAATATTATATTTAGACAATTTTGCACAGTCGACTATCCAGTTTTAGCAGTCTGTGCTTAGCCCAAGGACATTTGTGAAACAAGGTCCTGATGATGTGAATGGATGATGCAAGCATGAATGCTATTTCTGTGCCTCAGTGATAAAGATGTATTACACCTATTACACAGTGCAGGAATGGCCGTCATTTTTATCACCTTGATGAGCTTACAGCTGCCCAAAAATATATGTTCACTGCTAGGTGTTTTGTGGTTCATTTGGTATATTTACATCATCTTCATAATAATAATAATAATAATAATAATAATAATAATAATAATAATAAATATATAATTATTAGATTAGAAGGAAATCAGAAATAATGTAAACCATCCAAAGTGGTCTTGAATTTTCCTCCATTTTTATTTCACTATTTTATTGATTTTATTTATTTATTTATTTATTTATTTATTATCTGAATTTGGTCAGAGCACAAGGTTGCTGTATCTTTTACATCGATTAGCTAGAATAGAAAACGGCACTAGATCAGATGCCAGGCGTCTAAGAACTCGGCACCTGTCTCATGTGAAGCACACATGCTAGATGAGGTGCTTAGATAAAGCGTTATGTTATAAATACTCTGGGAATATATTTCTGGAACACTCTGTAAAGGCACGTGAAATAATAATGATGGTTCGTGAAGGGGGCATGGAACTCATGATAACATTCTGAGAATTTTTTCATGTAATGGCATAGGTAGCGAGAGCGGTAATTAGATTAGTAGTCTTCTGTTTATATTTTTTGCATGGGGAAATTGCTTTTGTGGTTCATGAACTTCGGAATATAAAGGATATATTTTTTCCTTTCTTATTTTTTTTTAGACCAGTAACCTTTGGAAATGTCTTTTTGCATTTGAAAGGTTTTTGTTTTATTTTTGTGAATTCATCAGGTGAGAATATTCAGCATACAAACAACTTATTTTTAGCATTGGCACAGTGATTATTATTACTATTATTATTATTATTATTATTATTATTATTATTATTATTATTATTATTATTATTATTATTATTATTATATTTATTTACTTAGTGATTATAATCATTTATATTAAAAATTGACTAATTTATCATGGATTTGGTTAAAATGTTTACATTATTTGTAAACATAATTTGGTAGTTTTAAGGTGGTTGGATGGGGGTCAATCATAATGTTAGACCCCATTTCCTTAGACACCATCGGTGTATGTAAATTAACCCATCTCTGCAGGGACTCTCTCCTAAGTGCAATCAGTGGAACTGTATGACACGCCTCCTCTTGTTTCCAACACACTTGTAATCACCAGCTTTTCTGTATCCTACTCAAGGCCAGAAAGAGGCATGTTGATCTGTTAAGCTGGTTGCTCTCAGCTAGAGTCCCTGCAGAGTTAGATCAATCTACGTAGACCAGTGGTGTATACATGAATGGGCTCTTTGATGCATTCAAGGGTGTGTTGCACTGCCATCAACTTCTCTTACATTCGCCGATTTATGTTCTGATTGCGCTAGATGTGACATTAGACACATTGTGTCTCAACCAAGCAGAATTCATTTGACTCAAGACTGCTGGGAAGTGAACAAAATAATTTTGCAAAGTGTGGTACAGTACAGGAAGATCTCTTGAGGTTTAAGTCTCTCTACTTAAAACAGATACAGGGGCACATTTGAGTGTTCAGATTGTTTTTCAGTTGTTGGAGTTGTTAAAGATAATTAAATAAAAAATGGCAATATATTACCCACACTTACGAAGGCGATTGTGTTTTCATTGCATCAGTTTGTCTGTTCTTCAGAAAAGACAAGGTATTTCAAAATGTTCTTCACAAAATTTACAAAAATTTTCAGGCCAGACATTTATACTAAAAAGGGCAAGAAGTGATTACATATATCAACTGAAACAAGTTTCCCTATCACACACACATACCCCCACACACACACACACACACACACACACACACACTTTTTTCTTTTTTCCCAAATAATTTTTCACTGTTTTTTTTCTCTGTACTCTAAACCTGTAGTTTAAATTCTTCATCTGTTCCAGGCAAGGTTCAAAGTTCATCTGTTTTGTGTGTCACATCCACGTGACGTCCCAGGACCAGCTGGACTGTCACCTCCAAGGCGCCAAGCACCTGGCCAAGCTCAAGATGCAGGAGAGATCCCAGAATGCATTGCAGGGGAGGTGGGGAGGGGCGGCAGAGAAACCATCAGGTAAGGTTTTTTTTTTTTTTTTTTTTTTAGGTACCAAGATACTTATTGAAATTTTGAAAATAGTGCATGTGGGTCCCAGAATGCATTGCAGGGGATGTGGAGTGAGGCGACACTGAAGCCATCAAGTGAGCTTCTTTTTATTTACAAAGTTTGCCAGGGAAATTTTGGAAATGGTACTTGTGGGTTTTTGAATTTGATGAACTTATCATTAGTAGGGGAGAAGTGGAAGTGAAATAAGGGAGTCAAGCAGTGCATTACATAGGGTAATGGCTTGATCTTTTCAGTAGGGTAAATTATCAATTTTTCAGATACATTACTTGCGGATCATTAGCTAGAATGCCATCTGCTAGAATGTATACCCTTGGTTAAGCTTATCTTGCTCACTTTATCTCAGAAATTACTTTTTTATTTTACAAAATAATTAGCATTTGATATTTTTATGATCTTGTGTGGAATTTGCAGAAGCTGATAATCAAGAGTACTCATTGTGATTATCATAAGGTACAATTTGACATTGCGACAGTTGAGATCTCATCCCAACACATTCTGCTCAACCAGTTGTGCTGGCTGCCACAGCAGCTCTGGAATTACCAGGGCCAGAGTGTTTCCTCTAATGTTATTGTCAAGTTTTTGGACTAGATGCTTCTTTTTCCTCCCATTGCAATAACTTGCAATTCAGATTTAAATTGTAAAAATAATTACAAAGGTGGCTCACAACGAATGTAATTAGTATAAAAATCCCCAGTCCTTTTAGTTATCAAAATTGATCTCTTTCTTATCTGATTTGAACACGAATAAAGTAATAAAGCTTTCCCCAGTATTATTAATCAGCTACCTTTTATCACAAATTGAAGATGCTTATCAAGTTATTGTACAAGAAAGGGATATTGGCGGCGCTTTTGATCTGTGTGAAAGGACCCAGTTGTTACATTCTTTCTGTAAATGTCAATATTAAGGGCAGTCCAATCTTGGGGTCCATTGATTGTTGGTGTGTGTTAGAGCTTATTCAGAACAGCAGACTAACAGATCTGCAAATCAAATGTAGGGGCAGATCCAGAGATATTTTCTGACAGGCTTCCAAATTATCTTTATTGATCCCTCTTCCATTTTTGACCATCTTCCGACAGAAAAAATTAGATACCCATCAATGTAAACTTGAAAATCTGACCGTCTTTCGGAAGACCCAGAAGACGGCCTAAATCTGCCCCTGAAATGTGGTGACCCACTAAAAAGCTTGTTGCTTAATTCTTGTTTAGACACTGAATAGATTCCCCCACAGGGATTACGCAACAAGCATTCAAGTGGGGAGGCCATATTTGATCTGCGGATCTGTTAGTTCGCTGTTCTGAATGCGCCCTTACTGTGAGAATTACAGGTTGAGGTTTGGTTTGTGAAATGACAAACTATTTTAATGCTGTGTTTCCAATGAGTTTGCACCAGAGGTCTGGGTGCGAAAGTGTTTGGAAGGTGTGTTTATAAATTGTATGGTTGTGCTGAGAAAAGGGAGAAGGTATATTTTCTCTCTTTCACTCTCTCTCTCTTTCTCTCTCTCTCTCTCTCTCTCAGTTGAGTTTAAAAAAACAAAGAGTTCTTCAACAAAGTCTCTAGTAGAGATAAAAACTGTACTCAGACCAGGATTATCTACAACCAAAATTTGCCCTTGATATCCTAAACATTAGGTTGCCATAATGCAAAAACAATAGGGTTATCCTCTGGGTCTCTTTAGACAGATCTCCAGTCCAAAATACACCTTGTCTGAACATAACTTGATATATTACCTGAGTAGTCCATTTCCTTATCACCATCTCCATCCCTCTATTACTGTAGTAATTGCTTGACCACTGTCCAGTATTTATTGCTTGACCACTGCCCAAAGGTGGCTACTTTGTGGTAATGGACGGAGGCCACAACGGTGAACTGAGCAGATAACATACAAGGTAGTGACCATTAGGGCTGGACATTGTTGTTAGTGTGGCCAGTATTCTCTTTGATGGTCAAAATCTGGGGGAGGGGGAGGATGGTGAAGGGAGGGGATGGTACGGAAGAGGAATATCAGTCTTTTATTTATTTATTTATTTATTTATTTATTTATCTTACATTCTTTAGGTGTGAAAATTTGCATACATGTTATATAACATACATAGGTGGAAGCACAGCTGAAAAAATTGTGAAGGAAAGAGAGAAATGAGATGAATATATCTGACTGAATCACCTGAGCCTTACAAAGCTTCAACCTTTTGGCAAATTTATTAAAAGATAATTATCAACATTAATAGATCATTAACATCAGCAAATTAAACACTCATAGCAGGGATGTTGATACCACTGATTTTTTCCCTTGTTGTTTTATCCAGAAATATGAATTATCATCCTGTGGAAGACCCCACCTGCCATAGTTAGTACACACCGTCTGGACTGTGCTATGGTCTGCTTAGTGGCAGGTCACTCTTGATAAATCTCAAGCCTAATAACAAGAGAAGTTATTTCATGATCCGCTGCCTCCCTAAATGAGATAACAATTTCATAATTAAGAATAAAAAAAGGAGTCTAGCTCCACCCGTCAGTCTTGATTAGCCGTCTTTAATTACGGACGGGATCGTGTTTCTTTTTAATGACAGAATAAATTCCGCTTTGAAAAAATCTGGGAATTTGGTTAAGGGGCAGAGGTGTGCCGGGAGGGCTAGGTGTCCAAAGCCATTAAAGTCAACAGATAATTGGCCAGGCAGAGTTTAAGACGGGGTGTTCTTTGAAGGTCTTGGTAATCAGTTTCTGACTGTATTGTGCTGACATCTGGTGACAGACTTAGAGTGGATTGTCTGGGTAATCAGTGGAGTTTTCTGATTTCAGAATAATGATGGTAGTAATGGGCCAAGTCTGAATTCTACTTTGCACCTTAGTTGGTATTGAGAATTAAGCAAATAAATCACTGGAGCATAAAAAAGGCTGAGAAAGTATAAAGCTGGAGAAGGTTGTGTCTAGAAATACTGGTTCCTTTTATAAAACAAAGGGGAAAAAAGGGAAAAAATTAAAAATAAGAGTAGTATTACTTTGTGTGTTCTTTTTGTGAGTGAATGTAGCACAGTAACTGGAGATGCTTAATGAGGAACAGTAAAAGTATGCTGTTCAAGTTCCTCAGAATTCATCCATCTGGAAAATAACCTGTAATTAGACATTTCTGAGAGAGCATCTGCTCCTTACCTTTTTTTAAAAAGTAATACGAAGCATGGCTGTCTCTCATAGGGTATACACAAGTAGTATGAGAGAAATTGGTTAAAATGGGTCTCAAGTGTTTGTTTTTTCAGAGACAAGATGTTATTAGGAAGTTAACAGCACTGGTACCCTGTGTTTCACAACGCTGAAAGAGACTTGCCATATATTCTGTCATATCCATCAATGCTTTGTTATTTAGGGTACAAATTGGAGATTTCGTTAGTTTGTAGTTTTTGAAAGATTTCTGCCTTCCCAGTATGCTCTCTCTCTCTCTCTCTCTCTCTCTCTCTCTCTCTCTCTCTCTCTTTCAGGTTTCTCCCAGCTTTCTTCCACTTTTCCCCCAGCTACAGCTGTTGTGTATGTTGGGAAACCTGACATAACTGCCAAAAGGAACATGAAATTGTATGTCTGGGATTTCACTTGGACTCTGAGTCTCTGACATGGAGAATCGATGATCCATGATTTCTCAACCCAAGGCGCCTATAACCATGCTACAGCCCTGTATACTGCAAGTGAATGCTACAGCCCTGTATACTGCAAGTGAAGGCTGGCATTTTAAGAGTCATGTCACTTTGAATGTGTATATTGCATTAAGTGTGTGTGTGTGTGTGTGTGTGTGTGCGCGCGCGCGCGCGCTTGCATGAAAGGGGTGCTTGGAAATGTACTGGGTATATGTACATGTAGAGTATCCTCTTTTTTACAATTTCATTTTTTGCAATATTTGATTTTCGCTAAAATCGATTCAAATTTTACAACCCTTATACCCATTAAGTACTCGAATTGCCTAACTCATGCATTGTGGAACATTGTGACTTTCATCTCAACTAGAATTCACACACACACACAAACAAGCACATAAAGTACACTTTTTCAATATTGATAAACATTGATAAACCATTTGTAACACTTGGATTTCGCACCCTCATGTTAATCGGCTCACTGTGATGAATATCCCCAATCTAAGCCGGCTAATACTGGGAAATGTTTGAGGTAACTTGTAATGCACATGTAGCAGACCAGGTGCTAAGTGGTCCATTTTGGTAAATATTTACAGGGGTAATTAATTGCTGTCAGACCCATGTTTTATCAAGGTTATAATTTTGTCTTTCACCCCAGAATCACCCTGAGTATCTGAGAGCCAATATGGCTGTCTTGTTGCTTTAGGCTCTGTATGTTCAATGAGTGCAGAAATAAATAATTTGCATGGGTCACAATAATTTGAGATCTCCATGCATGTGTGCTGACACCTACCTGTACATATTAGTGCAATGCACATATGTAGGCATATGTTTACACAGGCTCTCTCTCTCTCTCTCTCTCTCCGTTATCTGTCACTTTTATCTTAAAAGATACACAGCTGGTATAGAAAATAACTCACACAAGTAACTGACGCTTCTACATGTCCTTTAAGTGTGCTCTCTCCCTCCATTTCTCTCTCTCTCTCTCTCTCTCTCTCTCTCTCTCTCTCTCTCTCTCTCTCACACACACACACACACACACACACACACTTAAGAACCATGGTCCCCAGGGTGTGTGTCCCTTGTGTTGGACCTCCTAATGTATCAGGGTGTGTTTGTGAACATAACAGTCAGTCACCTGTGTAGGTGGCACAGACTGGTTTAGTCTGGTAAGAGAGAGCTTTAGTCAGATTGTTTTTTGATGCCCTGGCTGATTGTTGAACATGAAGTCCAACTTATAGTCAGCTAGAGCTTTATAACAAGATTTTAGTAAAAAAAAAATTACTTGGGATTTTTTTCGTGAAATGGAGACCTGTTTTTATTAGACAATTA